GGCTAAACCGCGCGGCGGCGACGGCGGCGGAGGGCCAGCACGAGGACAATGAACCACCGCACCGCGTGATGAAACGTACCTGCGTGTAACACCAATTCTCGGCTACGGGGGTGTTCACTTCCGGCGGTGGTGGGCTCGGGACGCGGCTCACCGCCATGCTACTGCTGCTGTGCAGGTTCGAACTGACCCGCGACGTCTGAGGCGCACAGTCGCTCACCGCAAGTCTGTAAACAGAAGAAAAAAAAACGTTTAACCACCATTCGTACATTACGGTAGCAATTCAATTCGAGTAGGATATCAGAGCGAGCGGCACAGAGAGAGAGAGAGAGAGAGAGATTCCCGAGAGAGAGAAAGACGAAGAAATATTCATTTCTTAAAAGCTCCTTCGCCCCGCGTGCGCGCGAGCGCCGCCGCGCGCGGCATTTACGCGCGAATGATTGATTCAATTTTCACTGTATTGTTTTCCCACTTTAGATAATCGTCGCGATAACAAGGAACACGTACATACGCCGGGGCAACCCAGTTCTCTCGTGATCGAAACCGCGCACGGCTTAATCGGGCTGAAATATCTCCTCACACGGTGGCGTAATTATAGTCGTATTTCCGTATGTGGAATCGATTTTTTCGAAGTAGGGAAAACCGCGCGCCGGCTTGCGCGCGTAGGTAAGGGAGACACGCGTAAAACTATGCGTCTGGTTTGCTCGCGTCCATGCCGGGCGCACGCAACTTCGGCAATCGATTCGACTCGCTCCCCGCCCCCCCCCTCCCTCCGCGAGGGATTTTGCTTCCGTAAGTGCGTGCAGAGCGAAGATATAATCGCGCGCTGTAGTTTCGCTTTCGCAAGGCTGACCCGTCGACGTGCTACGTATGCAAGCCGACGACGCCGGAACGGGGCGGGCGGCACGACGCCGCGCCGTGGCGATCGATCATAAAGAAAGAAATGGATCTCCAGTGCGGCGTGCATGCACGACGACGGCCGCGGAAACAAATTCCGCGCGGTCACTATGCGCGCGTGCGAGATAACGCGCGAGAGATTTTTCGTGACGAGAGAATCGGTAGGAAGGAGGGGAAAACAGGACGATTAAGTTTCGCGCACGAGCGCGATTTCGCAATGCGGCGTCCACCTTGGACGCGGCGTCGTTAAATGACAATTTAGTTATTATTATGTTATACTCGTGGGTATACATGTATATGTATAATACATGTGTATGTATTATGTGTGTATTACAGGCGCTCAAGCTGCGACAAACCGCGACGGCCACCCGACGACGGTGCAAACTTTCGAGAACAAGACGGTCTTGCTGCCTTGCTACGTGGAGGGTATACGTATATATCATTTGTTGAACGCGATCGATTATGCGCCCTCGCGGCGTTTCTTCGCTTTCCCGAAATGATTAATCGCCCGTTTCCTCTCCCGTCCCGTTGTACCTCACTTTCGCCACTCTCTTTCCCTCCTTTCGTTTCGTCAAGTATTATATATACGCGCGCGCATGCACGTATATACGCGCGATACCGTCCCAGTGTAGAATTACTGCCATTTACGAAATTGCCCGACACTCCGCCGAACACCGCAATCTCAACCCACGCGATAACAACACGCGCCGGGTTGTCTTTCGAAACGTCATTACTCCTACCTACGCGGGCGTGCAAAATTAGGATAAAGTGGCACGTGGAAAAGGGTGTGTTTCCGGGCGAGCAGCTGCCGGCGCGCGCTGAGGCCGCCGCGCGCTTTGTATCGCCGGGAGCGTTACAAATGAGTCGTCGTGAGTCTTGTTAAAGCCTCGCTTCATTAAGACGAACGGTGATATTTATATGCACGCTCGCTCCTTTCTTTTCTCTCTTCTTCTTTCGCACGTCGGTACGTTGGATGACGTACGTTGTTTGAAGACAGAGAGAGGAAGAAAAACCTCTCCACCCGAGGGTTCATTTCGCCCCCTTGTTAGTGGGTATATAGTAAAAGTACTACGTGTGCCGGGTCCGAATGTCGGTTTTTAGGGCTTGGGGGTGGAGGGGGGGGGGAGAACGCGGGGATTTGTTCAAGTGCACGGAAAAAAGGTTATTTCTGCCCGCGTATAGGTTCGCACGAAACGAGGGTGAGATGGTGGCGAGAGGGGGTCCTCCTGGCTGATAGCGTCGTTCAGGAGCAGCCGTCGTCCGAGCGAGTCACCCTGTATACCAACGGCAGCCTGCGGATCCTCCATGTGCAGAAGGAGGACAGCGGGGAGTATGTGTGCCAGGCGATCAGGCCGTCCCCCTGGGGACACGTCACGCAAGTACACGAGATCGAAGTGATCTGTGAGTACACACCGCCATGTATATACCACCGCGATAAGTGTCCCCTCCTCCTCCCTCTCCCCCCCCCCCTCCTTTCCCACTGCCACGGTGTAACGTCCCAAGGGGTAATCCGTCCCTTGTACATCCGAGGCGGATCGACGCGCGTCGAAAGGATTCGAGAGTCCTTCACGTTTGCGCGAATCCGAACTGCGCGAGACGTCTATCCGTCTTCTCGCCGTCTTCTCGTCGGAGCCTTCCTTATCTACCTCTTACAACCGCTTTCAACCGTTTGACTTCTACCACCGCCTCCCGACCCCGCCGAGACTCTCCTTCCCTCGGGTCTTTCTCTCTGTCGAGGCGGAGATCTGAATTTTGCATGAGCGTGTAAACGACGTAAAACGTCGGCTTATGCCGTACAACAGCGGAGATTTATTTGTTCGTTCGCGCTCCATTCCGCTCAGATCCACCCAGCGTGGAGACGGTGCCGGCGTCCGGCGAGCTGGAGGTCAATCTAGGGGAGAGGGTGGAAATGCAATGCGTGACGAAGGGTGTACCGGCCCCTACCATAAGTTGGAGGACGAAGGTAATCGATATTTCAGGGCTATTCGATTCAGGGCTATATACCGTTGCCTATATGCCAAACGATATATATTACGCGATTCGCGTCAAAGTGCGAGATGAGTGGGAAACGTTCGACGGCGAGGCCGGTGCAGGGAAGGAAAATCGGGGAGGGGAGAAAAAAAAAGAAAAGAACGAAAGAAGAAGAATGAAAACGCGACGCGAATGTCCGTTCGCGAGATATACCTCCCGTTCGGACAATAAGTCAATTAAATTGGAGTGGTGCGTTGATGTGATAAAGCGGAGTGATAAAGCGCGGTTTTTCTTCTTCTTCTTCTTCTTCTTCTTCTCCTTCGCAGAACGAGGAAATCCCATTATTGGACTCTCGATCACACTTGAAATTTCATGCCGACAATTGGAATTTTTCCGGCACGTATACCTGCGTCGCCACGAACGGAATCGGGGAACCCGCGCAGGCGGACATAGAGCTACGTATCAGATGTGAGTACCCTCTAGGTGTATCCTCGCTTGAACGTGCAGTGTACATTACATCTAGAATTTGCCGCATGTGCACTCGATTAATAGCCGCAACCCGGCTGCCCTTTATTACAAAGTCGTTTCGGGAGCATCCGCGATTAATCGAGTTTAATTACGGCCGACCGTACCCGAAACGACTCATGCAAATCGCGCTGTACCCTTCGCGCCACGTAGCAGCACAATTAAGAAATTGCCGCAGATTGCTCCCTTTGGTATACCAATCAAACGCATGAGCGAGCCAATTATGCTGATTGTGCAGTCGCTACGAGTGTTTTGCAGATGTTTCCGACGATCCTTTCGCTTCTGCGACATCAAAGCAAGGCCTTACGTGCATCTCTCAGAAGTGCAGCTTTAAAGGCATAAACAGCACGATCGCGTGTGTATGTGGTGTGTGTGTGCGCGCGCGCACTTTAATGTATGATTAAATAGCAAAGGGTGAGTTCGGTCAAAAACTCCGATAACCGATTAACAACTGCAATCTTATCAAACAATACCATTGTTTTGTTTTGTTAACGCGAACATGATTATTAATTTCTTGTTTAATATATGAGAAATAAGATTAGATTAGAAATAATTATAGTTTGAAACTGTGCTTTAAGCGATTCTTGCCAGTTGAAGTAATCAAGTTAATCGGAACTTGACCGGGGTCGCCTTAAGTGAATTAACTCGAGCGAATATTAATCGCAGTCGAGATTCTTTTTGTAATCTTGAAAAAATTTAACGTATAAGTATATATTAAATATTTACATTAAAAAAATGCAGATAAGCCGGAAGTCTACGTGCAGAGACATTGGGTGCACGCGTATCCGGGGTTACGAGTAAAGCTGGATTGCATGGTATCCGCCTGGCCCGAGGCGAAGGTGAGGCTCCTCTTTTCTTGAAGACTGTCAACGGCGCTCGATTGCGCGTTAATTAACAGTTTGAAACAATAATTAACGGCGCAACTTGAACGAAGGACGCGGACGCGCGCGAGTCACTTCGGCGCGGCTCGTAATCGGACTTTTAATTACGTCGCAAGTGTGCGCGAGCGGACTTCGGAAACCGATTGCGGCTGTAGACGTATCTTTTCGTATATATATATATATATATATATATATATATATATATATATACTTGCGAGGCGCAGCCCTTAAATCAGGATTTTCCACAAGAGATAAGCAAGTCGAAGAACGGACGCGAATAGAATTTATTTCTTCACGGGAGAATGAAGACTTTGTTTCACTCCCTCTCTCCCCTCCCTCTCCCCGTCGGGGCCAATGCGAAATTGTGTCCGCGTGATTACTCGCCCCGGTCGAATAATCTCCGCACCCTTATTAACCACGAAACAACGTAAAATACTTTGAAAGACGATACAGGGGGGTCCGACGGCGTATATTGTAAAAATAAATTTTTCCGCTCCGAAACTTATGTCCGATTAAAAATTTTTCCCTCTCCTATATACACGTGTCACAGATAGCGGAGCATCCGATAGGAGATGCGGATCGATCCGGCCGAGAGTCCCGACGTCCAATACAAATACGAAATATTTTTCTGGCGTTACGGCTACTCGTCTTTTAGATTTCGACGAGTTCTTCGCGCTCGGTAACTAAATGAAACCGCCCCACCTATCTGCCAAGCAATTTCTCACCGTGATCCCTTAAAGCCAGTCGCACGTGACAAATCGATTCGTGGGGAACGTGACTTACCGCGTACCGCGTTTTTTTTTTAATTTCCTCGCGAAAGAAAAAAAAAGGAACCGGAGTGAGTCGGGGAGAATTGTGTTACCGCAGCCACTCGCGGCAATCGATCCGATGCGGGGGGATGACGTTACCGATCTCGTGTAACGAGAAGTTGTTAAATGATTAACGTTTCGACAAAATTACATGGAGTCTCGTCTTCACTCATTCTTCTTTCTTTCAGGTTGAATGGTTTTTCAACAACAAGACATTGGAGTACTCGTCGCGGATAATGAAGCACAACACCGACAACGATCACAGCCTATTTATAAGGCAAGTAGAGACGGACGATTACGGTTCATACCTCTGCCGAGCGGTGAACTCGTTGGGTGTCACCGAGAAGATGATCGAGCTGTCGGGGATCGCGAATTCGGCGGTGTTCAAGAAGGACTCGCACAACATGACCAGCACGTCGTACTACTTTGTTTGGCTGGTCGACAGTTACAGTCCTATTATCGAGTACCAGTTTTGGTTCCGCAAATACAGGGTGAGAATGATTCAATCATAGACCGGAATCGTCAATCAGCGAAGAGTACACACGTTTCCCCACACATTTCCACGCGAAATCTCGGGGGCAAATCGGTGTGAACTAAATCGAACGTCTCTCGAAATCGACGTCTCTCGTCCTCTCCTCGAACGTATAGGCGTGGGATTTAGTCCGTGGTTTTCGTGCGTCGCTCGCGTTACGATTCTGATGGCCGCCGCGCATGCAAGGGTCGTAGGTATAATTGAACAAAAGGCAATGGCCCGGCGGCTTATTACTAGAATCTTCAGTCATAAAATATACGTTTCTCTTGCTTTTTAACCGTCTCCTTGAATCCCCGCAATAAGGCGAAAAGGAGATGCCGTAAGTAGAGCGAAATGCAGAATATTGAAGTAACAAAATATTTGTTTGGTTGTCTCGGCGCGCGCTCTACGAAGATTGAAAGCTGTTTTATCAGCCAATATTTTTTTCCTTCTTTTGAGGGGTAATTCATTTCCTTCATCTTACTGTGCTTTGCGCGACTCGTCTCGGCCTCGAAATAATTTACAGAAAATGTGCGGAAAATGTTGGTAATATAATAAGTTTTAACTGACAAGATATCGGAAGGAGTCCTAATGAAATTAATTTAATTGAAATGCCGTACAGCCAGTGAGAGAAAAAATATATAATTATATTTTGTTACCGCCGCTTGACTGTTGTTTTAAACGATTCTTTTGCAATTCTTGTGCAAAGTAATTTTATAATTATATAATGCAATACAATATTAATATTATATCAGACAGATTATCTTCTAGTAGCTTATATTCCTCTATTCTTTGAAGATCGATTTCATCGTGATCGGGGATTTTTTTTTTTTTTTTTTTTTAACGTAGAGAGGTGGTGGCGGTGAATGGCACAAATTGTATATACCTGGCGGTGGCAGTGTGATCGTCAGCCCGGTGCACATAGGCTCCTTCAATCTGACGGGGTTGGACGCGGCGACCCATTACGAGGCGGTCGTTTTGTCCAGAAATCGTTACGGATGGAGTCACCCCTCGGAGATACTGCGCTTTCACACTGAAGGAGCCCGTAAGTAATAAAGATAAGTCGTTCGCATATATCCGCTGCCTCTTACCCTCCCTCCCGTTCCCATCTCTCTTGCGCGCCCGCGCGCGACATGGCGATTGCGAGGAGAGATACGTCTGTGAGAGGAAACTCGGATCGCATGTGATAGTATATCGCGTCCTATTTTGCACGTTGCAGCTGTCGATTCCAGCGAAAATTCCGAGATGGATGGCGATCAAGAGCAGAACAGGATAGCAGGTAAATCTGACGGTTCTATTTTTAATCTTTCTTTCTTTAGCTAATTGCCAAGAGAATTAATCTTAATTCTCGATCGTATTGAGTTACGTTCAAAAAACTTATTTATAACGTGACCTAATTTATTTTAGCTTAAATCGACAAAAAAATGGTTAAAATTTTCTGCTTTATTCCTTAATATTCGGAAAATTCAGGAAAAATCAGAGCTACCTTTACCAATTGATAAATGCATTATACGCTACATTTATCCGTTTAACTCTCTTATATTCAATCGGACATGCATATTCCAACATGTTTAAAAATCATATCTCATATCTCTGGTAAATATTGAGTTATTAAAATCAAATAGAGTTCGTTTTAAGGGAAATCGTTAAACTTTTAATAGAATATTGTAAAAAATATATTATCTCAATAAATTATTCTTGCAGAGTTCGAATTCTTAAAATATGTAATATATATAAAATGGACGAGAAATAGAGAAAAAAATTCAAATAAAAAAAAATGTTTTAGAAATAATTACCAATTGTTGAAAGTTAATAACTTGTGTTGTCTGTTTGTAGTCGTACAGCTCTCATCCATGTCGCAGCATTATCTTCTGACCACGGACGCAAGTGGATCGATTTATAATCGAGCGCAAATCTTGTTGTTGATATTAAGTACGTTTTGTACCTTACTTATAACACGCTCACAGATTTTAACTAATGTTGTATAAAATGTGGAGAAGAATATAAAGTGCGAACTGTTGTAATTTATGCGTACATGATACGGCTATTGTTGAAATATTATCATTGTCAGTCATACGTTTGCGAATCATTATGTCGATGAATCATCTTCATTAAATAGATATCGCAACATCATTCGTATAGTCATTACGTAGTTAGTGTCATTTCATTTTCAGAGTCTCAAATAATGCAAAAAAATTAGTATAAATTTTTGTTATCTCATGATTTTATCTTGAAATATTGCAATTGTGCGAACAATTTGTATAATTAAAGCAATATAAAATAATTATTAGTTATCTGCGAACTAATTTCGTCGGTAAACTCTGCCGCACAATTCTGAACCTGCTTTTTACCACTTGCGAGAGAAATATATCGTCAGTCGAGTTCAGTTGCAGAAATTTTGCTTCGAGACAGGATTTGTCTCTGCAAGTTCTACGAGAGCTGCATTATCGACGAATATTGTTTTCTTGTTCGGTTTTTCCTCATAATTTATTTCCTTTATCTCATCCCCGTATCTTTCCCAGATAATCTCGGTATCGAAATAACATACGTGCGAAAATATTGACAATGGGTTTTACTGACAGGACATCGTAAGGAGTCATAATGAAATGAATTTAATTTAAATGTTGTACAGCCAGTGAGAGAAAAAAAATGTAATAATTCTGGATCTTACTGCTTTGACTGGTTGTAAATTGTTTTGTATTCTTGTACAATTATCTTATAATTATATAATAATATAGTATAATATTAATATTATATCAGACAGATTCACACAACGTCCGCAGTATGGAAAAGGGATGATTGGCCCTTTTTTTTCTTCCTTTTTTCCATTTCTGTTTACTTTTGCTAATATTCACTCCCATGATGACTAACATATGTACGCAAAATACTTGATAATCGGTCTCGTTTAAAAGTGAAAAATATGTAAAAACGTGAACCCTCGATGCAACGACAGTATAGAGCATTATTGTTTTTTTTTTGTTGTTGTTTCTGGGAAGTTAATTCGCGATGTACTGTATTCCACTTGATTTTCTTTTTCTTATCTTGTAATAGTGGGTTTTGGGATTTGCTGGAATACTCCTAATTCCTGTCAGTAGCTCGAAGCTTCTCCTCGACAGCCTCCTCGGAAGCCTCCGACAAGTCTGTCGCCTGTATATACTTTTGCACACCGACCAGCGACTTTTTCAAAGCGTCGAAGGAACTCGAGTACAACATCTTCTTCTTAACCTTGGCCGTGTCGGGACACCACGACATCAAGAACAGTTTTTGTTTCTTGGATGCCTGAGAAAAGAATCACACAATGACTTCTAAAATAAAATCTCCGTTATCGGCGAGCTCCGTCAACACTTTTGAAGTACGTGTCACGGGAAAAATAATTTACACGAAAAATGGATAGTTAGACAATTACCTCGGAAGTACCCTGACACTGATGGGTATATTCGAAGTCAAACAGGCCGTAACGGCACTCTCCGCTGCCGCCCTTCTGTAAATCCTCCAGGAAGGCGTCGTAAGCGGCGTCGCGGGGTCCGATAACTTCGACATCTATCTGCCTTTCGTCTTTGATGTAGAAAATCACATATCGGTGCTTTTTGTCTTTCTTGATCTCCTCGTACGTTGTCTTGCAAACGTCCGCGACTGTCACTCCAGATGCCTGATAAAACAAACGTAAATATATGATTTATTATTGTGGTGAGAAATAAAGCGAGGGAGAGATGAGATAAGCGATTATGACGGTCGACGTTTGTTGGCGGTTTTTAAATCGTTAACATTATTGATGTATTATCGCGTGTGTATGTTATACCTTCTTATCAATTTAGAAAAATTGCCGAGATACTTTTTTTTTTATCGGCGATATATTTTATCTCTCGCTGAAATTTTTTTATTGCGAAACGGATTAAATATAGAGAAGCACGAATTTATTCGTCAACGTCTCGCAGTGACGAACAGCCGCGCACGAAGAGTCGCATGAATTTCACCGACCGTTCGACTGGCCGTTGCTCCGCGGTGGCCAGGACGATTGGCAGAGGCGGCAGAGGACCATCTCGCGTCAATATGATAACGTCCGCGGACATTCAGCAATCGGCACACGTCGCGCGCCGCGCCGACGTGTCAGTCGGGCCGTTTAAGCCCATTTCGCGGGCAAAATACGTGGGGAGGACCGCGCTACCGAAATAAATTCTTCCCACGCGCGAATCCCGACGCTAAAAGAGATCCGACGATCCACTTCTAAAGTTATCCCCTGGCTCTCGGGCACGTGCCGCGCGCTACGAACTTTCGGCCGGTCGTGTCTCTCCTCTCCGCGCCGCGGAAATTCGTGAAATACGACCGCGGATTATCTCGCTATCGGAGGACAAACGGAACAGAGGAAACCTCAGAGAATACCTTTTCTCGCCATTCTCACAAGCCAATCTCGCAATCTCAACTTTTAAATTATACCGTTCAGCAAAAAGATCTAAACCCGCGAGAGGGTACGATCGCTTCGTATCGATTTAAAAATTGTATGACCAAGTATTTCGGCGAGCATCAAAAAAGTTACAAGGAATCCTTTTTCTTTCAAGTTGGTTCTTCGCCAAGCTTGCGTTATTCTATCAGAACGCGAAGTCTGATGTTCCACAATTCGAATTATTTCCCTCACTTCTGGCAAATGCATGAAAATGAAATTGGCTCACTCAAAGGGTGAACACGTCATTCGATCTACCGCGTCGTACAAACATTTATATTTTCTCGAAAGTTACGGGCATTCGACTATACCACGACGAAAAACCACTTCGTCTTCCGATTGCAATATAAATACCACGCTGAAAATTTTTGAAAGATCATCAAAGTTAAATTTCTAAGCTAAGCAGGCAATTTTTTTTTACAGCAAGTGATTTCTCGCGGCGGTTAAGTTATTGAACCGACGTTTCGGCGTCTCGCGTTAGAATTACGTTGCGCAGCGTTGGCTCGAATTTCGCGGAAGCAAATGAATATTCGCGATGCGGACTCGTGCGATCGTTAATTATGGGCACGAGGCTCAAATACGGACGTCCTCGATAGCCGACACCCGTACTAATGTATCGCCGCTCGTTCCACATGACTGAAGGAACGCAGAGCGGATGTGAATCGGAGTGCGGAGGGGCGGGGGGGGGGGCTCCTGCGAGAAACGCGACGGCTGGAGGGTGAACGCCGGCGAGAACGCAGAGGATGCAATTCCTGGGTCGATATCCCCGACGGGGCGGCGACAGGGGACGCCGGTTAAAGGGATGATGCCCGTTGGGGGGGCTCCCACTTCTGGGGCGTGTTGCGTACCCCTCTTGGCGCAAGTCGCACACAAGGTCAAATGGATGATTCATCAATAAATCTGTCTGTTTTAACGGCGCTTTCCTGCGCTTTCTACGTTTGATAAGGAAATATGCATGCACTTAAAACCCGTATCAGACATATTGGAGAGCGAGAAATGCAAATTGAAGATTGCAACTCCGCCGAGACAGTGCGTTACAGACCAGAGGACGGCAAATTACGGTCTGCATAATAATTACAATATTTTGAATTTCACTGATAAAAAATTTGTAGAAATTTGTTTTTTTTTTTTTTGTTATATCTAACATCTTTCTGGCTCTCGCTAGTATTAAAGTATTTATTATCTGATTACCCTTCACAAAAAAGATTTGCTGACTATGCTGCTGTAAAAAAAAAACTACCTAACAGATAAAATTGTAATCATCCAAATGCAGTCTTACAGATTTTATAAAGAAGCGCAGCTAAAACGGAATATCTGTCGGACGAACGTGTCCTTATTCCGATCTTCGGCTTGGTAAAGATCGATCGCGAGGCAACGTCTCGTTTCGAGAGGGTGACACGATAAGAGGAAGACTGTCGCGATGGCAGAGAGTTTAATCAACCGGCCGTCGCCGTCGCGGACGCGAGACGTCAGTGAACTTCGAGGAGTCGCTGGCCCGCAAGAAAATAACCGACCTCCTTACAGGCTCATTGAATTTTTCCCTCTCCCGGTAGCTAACCGGCGCGCACCACTGTGCCGTGCATCGCGCCTCTCTCTAGTTCACTGTCATCGTCGAGGCGCAGCGAGGTGCGAGAGGATACCAGAGGGGAGCTAACAGATCGGAGAAGGGGACAGTTTCGCGAGGAGAGCCGGCTCTCCTTGTCGAGAACGTCGAGGTGAACGGTTCGCAGGAAAAAAAAAAAGAATTATATTAACGAAAAAAAGCTAAAGGTTTGAGAGAGTGTATAACATCCAATGTATATTCTGAATTTCATGAAGTTCAGAACGCGATTTTGCTATACGTTTTATTATGCTGTAAATTATAATTTACAGCATATCATCGAATTATCTCGATCAAAATCATATTCGTGCGATATAGATAAATATTAAATTAAACATAGAGTATTTCAAAAATACCTTCAGCGACTTCTTCCGTCAATTCTTTCCATTTTTTTTTTGTATCGTATATTTTCATAATTGCAACTTGTATCAGAATTTTATAAGTAAATTCCATTTAAAATTAATTAAAGAACATTTTTGCTCGCGTTTATACATATTCAAGTTTTTCAAGCGCTTACATAGTTCAAGGATCACTTGACATTTTTGCCAAGAAAAAAATCGACTTTAAATCCAAAGAGCTAAAAATGAGTCCATCGTTACGAGAATCATGCGTTTTTGCGACACCTTGTACACGGATAATAAACATTTTTACATGGTGTCGAGACCTGGGTGGCACTACCACGTCACTCGATAAGTCGCTCTATAATTACTTCCGTGGGTATGCAAATTTCTTCGTGGGAGGACGAGCAAGCGAAAGGGCGCCGCGGAGGCGAACCCGCGAGAGGGTTAAGGTCGTGCTTAATCGCACGGACGGGGAACGGAGAGAGAGAGAGAGAGAGAGAGAGAGAGAGAGGTGGATACCACGCGATAAGCGCATCGAGTCACGGTCTTATTTATATATCGCGCGAGTCGCAAGTGGTTTTGATAAAAGAAACGCGAGCCGTCCTCACACACCGTCGTCGCTGCGCCGCGCGAGGTTGCAACTTTTCGCGATATTAACTGGACGCTTCCGCTATCGTCGTTATCGCCTGCACGCGTTTTGCAACCTCCCTCGTTGCGTCAGGCTCTCACGCTTACCGAATTCGCGTCGACGCAGCCGTACACGTAGAGAGGTAGCTTGGGCTTTTAGTGTCAATGTCGGCGGAAGCTTCGTTAGTATAACAAAAGGAAAAAAAGAACAAGCGAGTTTGTTAGTGCCCTCTCTGTTTTCGACGTCAATTATACAACGGCAAATAATATTCTTTAATAACATATTAAAATAAAACACATGTATCTTATTCCTCAATTATTTTAATTGTAATTTTAATTGCAATAAATTTATTATTTTAATGGTGCTTCAATTAAATATCGTTCTATGTATCGTTTCATATAACAACTCTTCTTAACTTATTGAAAATTCTAAACTAAAATCTTGCGAAAGATTTGTTGCATTATTGGATGGAACTCTCGTTAGATCACTGTCTATCATAATAGATGTCGCAGAAAGAACAGAGTCAGTTAAACTAATTGGGGAATAGTCAGTAGCAATTTAGCTTCAATTTTGAACATTTTGATTAAAAAAAAAAAACGATTATTAAAATCGTGTCATCGTGAGATTTTTCATAGAACGCGGCTTCGTAGATCGATCGCGTGACGTTCAGTCGCGTGAAACGAACACGATAGAAATAGATATCAACTTGAACCCTCTTGAGATTCTCAATTATTACATAAATTCGACATGATATCGACGCTCCTTCGGCCGTAATCATAATAAATGCAGATTACGAATTAAACTCCCGCAATTTATCTCTTCCTCTCCCGCCCCGAACATTCGAAAGTATATACATCCTCGTTTCGATTGCGGCGGATGTAGTAACGTGGTGCAACCGGAAAGAGGCTGCAACCGTCTCTCGCTGTCGGTGGAAAAACCGATCGCCACCGATTTTCGGTGTAGATAGCCGTTTCGAGCGAGCGATCGCCGAGATAACGCGCGAACCATCGCCGACGATTTAACAACGATCCCGGTGGGAACCACCGAGTGAGATTCGAACAGAAATGGTCTGAAGGGAGGAAGAGGAGGAGGGGGAGGGGGAGAGCGATAGCACGTGATTCGAAGCGCCCACCCAAAATAAAACACGCGGTGCTTCCTTTGAGGATGACGCTCGATCTTGCCTCGATTCCGCTAGTGACATGTGAACTGCCGCTCTCCCTCTGACGAACTGACGTTCCGCGAAACATGATATTATTTATCGTTATATCAAAATTCGTCAAATTTTTTTAGATGTATACGGAAGTTAAACTTGGGAAAAAATAAGAAGATTCAAAAGACCCCGAGAATGCACCTATACAGAATGCATCTCTTCGCCTTTTGTCTCGTTATATTTATTCATTATATTTTTAATATCACGCATCATCCTCTTCTTCCATGTGCAGTAAGTTGACACATGGTATATATACTCGATTTAACCAAGTCGAGCGTGTCACGTGCGCGCGCGCAAAATCAATGCCTTTTTTCTTGACGAGAGATGACAGAAGAGATACAGGCGAACAAATAAATAGAATAAATAGACATAATGCACGCGCGATTGTGGAGGCGCCATTACAATGTTGTGACAAATTGAGTCACCGTCGCGTTCTTTCGCGGCGGGCCCCGTTACCTTTTACGTCGTGTGTCATCGGGGCGACCGTCGCGACGTACGCGAGGGGGAATTCCTCAGGAATGCTTTACGGTAAAATTCCGGTTTCGGAAATTTCGGCGCGCTCGCGTTGAAGTAAATCGGGATTACTCGTTCCTTCCTGGACGGAGCTAAAAAGAGAAACGAAGCGCCGCCGAGAGAAATCCCAGTTAACTCGAATTTAATATTTATAGAAACGGGCCCTCGATATCGATAAATCGCGTGCCGCGGGATAGGCCATCTTCACGGATGCAGGATCGAACTTGCGAGAGTGACACCGGTTGCAAACGGGTGCAACGTTCAGAGAGGCGAAGGGAAGAGGAGACAGACAGACGGAGATAGAAAGAAAAAGAGGGAAAGGGAGAGACAGAGAGAGAGAGAGAGAGAGAGAGAGAGAGAAAGAACGAGTCGGAGAAAGACAGAGCGAGAAAACGCAATCTCCCAGGCATAAAAGCGCGATCTCACGCCACGGTGACGCTCGGCTCTCTGTCGTCACTTGATCGGTCGGTCAATCGGCTCGCCGAAGTGGAAATGAATCATGCGCTTCCTGGAAGCGTGCGCTATCGCAGGATCGTCACCGTCGTCACCGTCGTCGTCGCCGCGGAATTCGCACGCAGGAGGGCTAATACGGAGAGGTCGTCTCCGAGACGGTAGTCCGCGACACGAGTACGTGGCCGAGCCGAGGCGAGGCGAGGCAAGGCGAGATCATGAGGAGAGAAGACGCCGCGGCGAGATTCTTCCGGGCCGCCGCCGTTACGAGAAAGGAGGCGTATCACGGAGCCGGGCAGCAATGGCCGACCGGCGCGTCTGCTGCGGCCATAACCACAAAAAGGCCGTCGTCGGCTGCCGGGCCGGGTCGGGTCAAGTCGAGTCGAGTCGAGTCGCCGGGACCTCGCCCGTGTCTATCGCGGACCGCGCCGTCGCGCGCTCCGCACGGACGACGTTCTCACCTTCGCGGGGCGTATTATAATTACGCGCGGGTTTGGGAATAAACGTTCGCGTAAAAACGGCAGCGGTACGGCGGCCGATGACGACGACGACGGCGGCGGCGGCGGCGGCGGCGGCGGGCGACCACCGCCGTCGCCGCGTTCGGATATTTACCATTTTCCGTAGCGAGCGATGTAGCCGGTGGGCAGAGTTACACGGTGAACGGGCACTTTAACCGACACTTTCCCGGAGTATCTCGGCCGTGGTGGAACTGGATAATAAGCGGCGCAGTGTCCAGTCGAAGGGATCGCGCGGATGGCTCACGGGCGAACGGGAAGGGAGGCTCCTCTCTCACGACCAGAGCGCCGGCTATCTCTCTCTCTCTCTCTCTCTCTTTCCTTCTCCCTCCCGCGGATCCTGTATCCCTACGCCTGCGCGCGCGCAACGCCGCCACGGACGCCCCCCGATTGGCCGGCGCGGTCGGGCTTGACCCGCGCCCCGTCGCGCGTCGTCAAAAATTCGCGATCGCGTGCCGCGCGCGCGAGACGGAAAAATCGCGCCGCGAGGCGCGAATCGCGAATCTGTTCGGTGTTTCGAAACCGAAGTACGGTATGCCCCACAGCCGCAATGTATGATACCGCAAAAAAAAAAAACCGGATAAACGAACGCGTCGCGCCCGCGAGCCGCGTATTTATTGGGCGCGTGAAGCAGAATCGCGCGGCGGATCGTGGCGACGGGAACGCGCGACAAATACGAATTGGAGCTCGGCGGCGGCGGGGGATGGCGGTAAACGCGATAACGCGAAATATTCCGCGGTCGGGGGCGACCGAGGTCGATCCGGCGTGCACGTGTACGCGAGATCGATTCGCGGCCACGTTCGTTTCGGGAGGAATCAGTCATTGACGCGGGGACGTGCCGGTCGCGCGGCCCAATCGCCGCCAGGGACGTGGGGAAATTGCCTTATATGGGCAGCGGCGGCGTACGAACGATATGTCCGGCGCACACGCGTCGCGACTGCGCGCGCGTCGAGTGTCCTCGCCGAAACACGCGACCGCGGCGTGCGCCGCCGCGATCGCCGGTAAAGCAGGGGCCAAGGGATGTACCGAGACTCTCCCCGGCACGGCGTCGTCCACATGCCCTGAGAAAATGTTCGATCCATATTTGGGAATATTTATCACATGTATACACATATCGATATTTATTCATCAAACTCCAATTATCTTATCTGATGATTAACTTATCAACGTAACGCCAGTACTTGTTAACACGGATACAATTATTAATTTTTTGGACCGTATTGGCGTTTTAATCGTTTCTTAATTTGTATTATAATTTTTTAAAGTTGTTTAACATACAGAAAAAATTGTTTCTATATGTAAAAAAAGAAAAAGATGAGACAATTTGAAAGAGCGAAAAACGATTCTGTCGGTTGAATTCATTCATTGCCGATCAAATTAATCGAAACTCAGTCGAAGTCGCTCCTGTGTAAATTTTCTATTAGGATAGATTTCGTGGAATAATGAAAAGCAAAGATATATAATGCTCGATACAGAAATTATATACGAAAAATATCGTAACAAAATACAGAATTTTTTGACAATAATGCGCTTAGTCGATCCAAAAAATATATAAGATATCTAGTAGAATAAATATGAAATATATCCTAGAATAAACACCCACATCCACGTACGCACACACACATATGTATATAAAAAAGAAATATATATATATATATATATATATATATATATTTCTTTTTAAATGCTATTAGCAGTTGTATATAGTTTATAACATTATTATCTTTATACATACGAGAGTGGCATTACATGTTACAAAAAGATGCATCTTGAGCAGACAATATATGTACTTTGAAATTTTTGTAACATACATGATATAATTGCTAGAAGTGAAATCTTATATACATGTTTTTTTTCCGCGCGAAAACATGTATTCTAACAAAAAAAACGCACATATTACAATAATAAAAAGACATAATATACAAACATAAAGCAACTTATTATATGCGTGCGCGTTTGTATATGTGTGTGATGTTGTATATCTCGACATTATTAGCAAATTTTATATACATACATATATATATGTTATATATTTATATATGTATATATAAAATTTACTCTAATACATAGCATACATATATATATATATATATATATATATATATATATATATATGTATGAGTTTATAATTTAAAACGTTATCTATTCTTCATCGCTTCTGAGTATTATAAATATTAACGTCTATTATATCAGCATGCTAATCCTTCATACATATGTTTCATACAAACGTATATTGTACAAATATAAGGATTGCTTTCTACAGTTTTACAATACTTATTGTTAGCAATTACACGATTACGATATTCATGACGATACTTTCTACGTCAGAAAAATAATAGCTTATTAAATGGATTAAGAAAAGGATTCTAGTCTTTTGTCCGTGCTTATATAACACACACACACACACCTAAATACACGTATGTACATACTAATTCGAAAGAAATATAGAGATGTCTTGTTATAATATAATACGATGTAACATTCGTTTTATACATACTTTCTACATGTCATAGTCATAAATACAGTTATAAAACCGAAACATTATTTCGTACGTTTGACACAATCTTTTTCGGCGATATTAAAGTAATAAAAAAATACGTAAGCGACAGGCAGTTATATTAACCTATTTTAGTTTCTTAATTTTTCAAACGAAAAAAAAATCGATATTGCTAAAAAATACTTTTTCTCACTATCGCATTAATAGGGTCTCAAACGATAAAAATTATAATTCAAAAATATTTATATACAAGTTTTGCTGTTCCTCAATAGAAAATAATGAATTATATATGGTATCTAGGCAGTAAATTGAGAGAGATGTTGAAATGACAATATACTGTACATTAATGAATAATACACCTGCGGTAAAACGTACAGAATATGTGCAATTAAAAAGATATAAGTGTATCTAATTTATATTAATGTATAGTATTGTTGTATTTACGTTGAAGTTATACGTATTTTTTTTGATAAAATGGCCTTTTAGCATGATCTTTATTCTATCGTGTATAACATAAAATCCTATATCACTTACAACATAAAGTTAATTCTTATATAAACAATATATTTTTATTTGTACGAAGTATTTTAGTTATTTGGTAAATAACTTCATTATTTCAGTACAAATATGTCTTTCTTCGTTTCTTCTCTCTCTCTCTCTCTCTCTCTCTTTCCTTTCCAGTTAAGTATAAGATATAGTTTTCCCACCATATATGGTATTGGAAGATGTGTGATAAAACGTAAGATAATATTTTTTTCGCGATAAACCAAATAATATACCTTATTCCTTAAGTACTGCAATTATCAAACAATTGCTCTGTGTGATGCAATCGTTGCATTTGTGATCATATTTTCCATCTAGCAACAGCATCATCGCTATTTGGAGTATGTAATAGGAACCGATTCGTTGGAACCTTCTTAATTGAACCTCTTTAATACGTTGAGTGTCACGATAAATGTTCGTGGTAGTTACCAATTCTATTTATACGGCGAATAATTACCTGAATTGAAGAGCGCGTATTGGAACTTCAATTAAGTGACATACATGTTAATATGACAGCAATGACCATATATCGTACATAAAGTTACATATCCGAATGCGCGGATATAGTCATTAATCTGACATCATATTATTAATTCTAAACGCCATCAAGTATCGTATAGTTTGTTTCGTTAATATTCCTTTATTTATTAATAAGTAACTGTAATACAATACCAGCGTTAATCCGGCGTGTATAGAATTAGCAAACCGTTAACCACTCAACGTATTAAATAGATGAATTCGCTATTAGTCGTAACATTGCAAATGTTAAAAATAACCTACAATCTCTCAGTCAACCATTACGAATACGTGCCCTCCGTTCTTGTTAAACGGAACATTCGACAGAGACGAAACGAGGTGATAACATTTTTAATTGCTAGACAACCTTCCGACACAATAGTGGCCTTATCATATCTCTACGATATTAAAGACGTATGCACTGTTAGATAAGACCGCGTTTCTTTTTGTAATCTTCTAGATTTAACGATCGGCGAGGTCCTGTATCCTTGATGTTATTAATGGGCTTCGGTAAAACGCTAACGGGATTGTCTAGAAATAAAATTGTATAAATTACACAAATATTTGTACTCCACATGCTTTTACTTAATAAATCGTTGAGTGAAATATTCGTTAACTACGAATCGTCGTCTCGCGAAACTTACTTGGAATAGGAACCTCCAAATCGATTGTTATATCGAAATCGTGCGCATTGAACAGGTCTTCTGTGCTCTGCTTCTTCTTGGAATCCTGCCCATTCTCCTTGTCAGCCGACCCTGAATCTCCAGCCGGATGAGGATTCGATTTGTCATTTACCGGAATCGTCGCCACCACTTCAGAGTCATCCTCCGGCTTGTACACCATCCTCGGCTTGGTACTTCGCCTGGTGAACGGGTCGTCGACCTTCTTACCCTTGTTAGCCTTCAGTTCTTCCTGTTATAACAATTCGGTTAGTCGAAATCGAAATATCGCAATAAACAACGCGCCCATATCACCAATATTACCATTATGGCCTTCTCAGCCTCCTCCACGTTTTTCTTGCGGTTGCGATCGTTTATGTACGATATACTGGAAATCGTTGCCGTGCGCATCTTATCCAGTTCCGACGCGCGCTCCTCCAGTTCGCTCAACTCCTGATTAAGTCGACTGGCCGTCTCGTCGTCCCCTCTGCAATTGGCCGCGTCGCGTTCTCTCATCAGCTGCGCCTTCTTCATCGCGTAATTGTAGGGAGTCTGCTTGAATCTCTCCTTCTCGCGCACTATCTTCTCTATGTCCTCCTCCTTGAACTCGTACACCAGCGCCTCCTTGATGTCCTTCAACTTCTGCTCGACCTCGTCGAACGTGGGCGTCGATATTCCCTGCAGCGCGCAGGTCTCCTTCCACTTGAAGAACTCGGAATCCGTGAATTCCTGATTCGAGACGAACTCCAACCTGAATACGCGCTCCTGCGCGCCGTGACGCAACTTCAGCCCCTTGTTCGTCCGCGTGCCGCCGAGCTGATAAATCTTCCCCGTCTCGCACACGCCGCTTATCTCGGCCACTCGGTAGACAGGTTTACCGTTGTTGTTGCCAATTCCTATTCTTACGAAGCAACCCTGCACCACTCGGTCGAAGAAGGGCAGGTGAACGAATCTCTCCATCTTGTGACGGGACAGTCGAATCTTGTTTAGATCTTCCTTAGTACTGATGTACACTGGCTTCTTGGGTCTGGCTTTGCTGCTAGTGATCGATCTGAAAACAACGAATATCGAATGTAAATATAACTGACGCAACCGAGAGACGCAGGATGTATCATTTGCACGAGAAGCAGCCTGAAAACTTACTTTTTATCGTTGTCGGAATCCGAATCGCGACTCTCACTCGTGGACGATCGACGCTGAGACGTCGGTTTAGCGACTTCCTCTTCCTCTCCGCTGTCCGACGAACCGCTGTCGTCGGAATATATATCGGAGGCCTTGAGTTTCGTTTTGTTCGCACCACTCTTATGATCGTCGTCCAACTCCTCTTCCTCCATGTCCTTTGACTGTTGCTGCTGCTGCTCTATCCTCTGTTTCTCCTTTTCCTCTGTTGGAAAAAGAATCGGCGTATTAGAAACGTTTGCAACGTGCAAAGGTAGCGATATGGTCCGCGATACCTTACCTCGTTCCTTCTTCTCCTCGCGTCTAGCTTTGAGCAACGACATCGCATGGAACTTCTTGTCTTGCTTCTCCTCTATCGTCTTCTTGCGGTCTTTACTTCTCTCCTTAGGATCCGGCGCCCGATCTATTTTCTGCTTCTCCTCGACGCCCTTCTCCTTCTTTTTCGATTCCTTCTGCTTCTTCAGCTCTTGCTTCTTGGCCATTCTCAGCTTTTTCTCGATTTCAAATCTGGTTTTCATAATCTCGCGCTGCTCGATTCGTTTGAAAATTTCCTGTTCGCGTTCCTTCTCGGTCATTTGCGCAAGTCTAGCCTGATCCTCCGCGTCTCCCATGAGCTTGTCGTCGTAGCCATCGTTGAATTCTTCTTGGCTCGAACTGGAACCACCCGGATCGGAATCCGATACCTCACCTGTCGCAATAAAACGACTGTTACTTATTATATATATATATATATATATATAACAAACTAAAAAGAGTGATCATATTCGTATGTTAAAAAAAATATACATTTAAAATAAATTGAATTACTGCGCACCTTCTTCTGGCTCTGAAAGCTGTTTAGCTGGTTCCTTCTCACTGGCACTGTCCTCTGAGCTGGACTTAGTCATCTTTCGTTTGCTTCTCTTTGACGCTTTTTTCTTCTTCGTTTTTCCAGCTTTGTTATTCCAGTTATCATCAGAATCTGATATATCCGACTCGTGTTTGATGTCTTTCTTAATAGATGCATTATCCTCGTTTGACTGAGAATCATCTTGGGACTTTCCTTTCTTTTTCTTTGCCAGTGACAACAGATCCTGAAGTTAAGTTAAAAAAACACGTGCTCAATTATGAATGCATAGTGAAAATCATAATAGTGAAATATGCGATAATAATGCAATCACAGAAATGATAACAGCAGCTCAATTCCAAAATGCATTAAGCTTCACAAGCTTTCACAAGCTCATAACATCATATCAGCTGTGACATATTATAGTCACACATATTATATTTTATATTTATTACTCCCGATTGCCGCCAACCGAAGGTTATTATTATCTACTTTCAGCAGCTGCACTATATTATCCATGTTCAAAATAAAGTGTATAATCAAGCGTTAAAAAGAAAAATCCAGACAGTTGAAAAATAAAAAAAAAGTCAAGAGAGACATTAGATTTGTTTCTTGTAGTTGCTGAATATTAGTGTACATTTTTCATATTTAAAATATTCAATATTCTAGTACGGTTCATGCAGCTCTAGTGCAGTCATAAAAAAACAAATCTATTAGATCTGTTTGCGTTGCTTGCATTTTTTGTACTCAAAGTCTTTGCTTTCCTTTTCTCTCTTTTTTTCTAACCAAAAATATTCTCGTTTTGAGCAAAAATTTGTAGAAATTCAAAAAAAAAAATGACAAGAACAAGCCTACTGTTTCACTTTAAACCAATCATTCGTAATTCGTAAGAGATACATAAAATATTCATAGATATACACGAATGCATTTTTATGGGGCAAATATTGCCGTAAATTGCACGAAAACGTTTTGAACATGAACGCACTTCAGGGCGGGGAGGGGAGGGGGTGCATTTTGCGGATTCGTACAACAAAGATCTCGGCAAGCCTCAAATGTCCTGCACGGTACGACAGCGAACGCGAGAGTGAATGGCACGGGACTTTGAGGGGGTTTTCGTTACGTCGCTTCACCGGACGGCGAATTTTCGCTGATTTGCGCCTTCAGCCTCCACCAGAGGTTATACGGGCACGGGACTTTCGTAGGTACGTAAAGTCAAGTTGTCGAGCTACTTACATTGTCCAAGTCCGAGCCGCTCTCCGACGCGCTCCCGCTGCTGTCGGAATCTATGAGGGCCTGGTGTTTCCTCTTCGGCATCCTGGCGGCGAGAGTGCCCGTCGACGGAAGGGAGTGAGCGACCAAGCGATCTCGCCGTGCCTCATGCGACGCGAGCACGGGGAATCTGGCCCTCGGGGAGCGCGTGCGAGGCAATGGAAATAGAAAACGTGGAAATCACACTATTCACAGCGCGAGTGGGAACATAAGTAACGGCGACGATAACAATCCGCGACACAGACCAGGCTACCTCCGCTACCTGTGCGTTGCGAGATGGAGGGACGACGAGCGAGTCTCGCGCATGCGCGGTCCCGCGAGCGCCAGCAGACGCCGTTATGGCTCCTGCGACCTGCACAGCGCTCGCGCGGGGACGCTTGCGTTTTTGTCCATTTCCACACCGGACGTAGATTAACTTCAATCGTACGGTTTCATTTGCCTTTTATCTTTCTTCTTAATTCTTTAAAGTTGAAAAAGATACGAAGTAAGTTAAACCTGGATTAAGGTTAGTCTACGTTTTTGGTATGAATATAGCACGGACTATTCGATATTTTTATATCGAGCTATAAAAAATATCGACTATTCGATATTATCGAATGACGATATTGACGTCTAGTCAGTCTGGTGTATTCGATATTTCGACGTGATTCGATTCGACGTGTGAGAGGTTAGGAGAAGTCAGCGACGGGTTAATGCTGTAAATTCGGCAAAGAAACATACGTTCCAAGGCTTTTAAACAATTGTAATGTAATTCTCCTTGTGTTTTAGCCGTAATTCAGTTGAGGGAAATTTTGATTCACGAGTGTCCCAAGGAACATTAGTGGAAAACATGGAAAACCGTTCGATATCGAAGAAGAGAAAGGTTAGTAATTTTCAAGAATTCATAATAAATACGTAATATAATAAATTTGAGACCATATATTGAAACATATTCGCTGCGATGCTGGAATCTTTCGGAATGATAATTTTGTCAAAAATTAGGCGAATGATATAATCGCGTAAATATGACATATGTTCTCCACGTCGGTTTTTCACTTGCACGTGGGTTTTACGAGGGATTCCACGTGTCCTGCTACAAAATTATTTAACGTATATATAAAATTTTGCGGAATTCAGTTTGATGCATATTAATGTTCAACGCAACGTTCTCTTACTTCTTGTTTGCTATTTGATGTTGTGTGACTGCGTTTATTTCAGTAAACAAATTTTTGAGGTTATATCAGGTGTATGTGCTCGAGATGAGAAATGAAACTTGGTGTTATTAATGTTTATCTTTTTTATTTTTATTTTCAGTTTGTGGGAGATGGTGTCTTCAGGGCTGAGCTAAACGAGTTCCTGACCCGCGAACTCGCCGAGGATGGCTATTCGGGCGTGGAGGTCCGCGTTACGCCGAACCGGACGGAGATCATCCTGTTGGCCACCCACACGCAGAGCGTGCTCGGCGAAAAGGGCCGCAGGATCAGGGAGCTTACGTCCGTAGTGCAGAAACGGTTCAATTTCAAGGAACCGCAGAACGTCGAGTTGTACGCCGAGAAGGTTGCCACGCGTGGGCTGTGCGCCATCGCGCAGGCGGAATCCCTCCGGTATAAACTGATCGGAGGTCTCGCTGTACGAAGGTAAAGCAAGGCCGTTCACACTCCGTTCTTGTCGCTCGTATTTTCTACCACTATTTTTTCATTGAAAGTTTCGTTTGTAATCAGGGCGTGTTACGGTGTTCTACGTTTCATCATGGAGTCAGGTGCCAAAGGTTGCGAGGTGGTTGTCAGTGGTAAACTGCGCGGGCAGAGAGCGAAGTCGATGAAATTCGTCGACGGCCTCATGATCCATTCGGGCGAGCCGACTAACGAGTACGTGAACAGCGCCACCCGGCATGTGCTTCTTCGGCAAGGTACGATTTTGCGTTATCACGATCATTTCTTTAATTAATATAGTGTATTTATAAAAGTTACACCAATAGGTAACATCTGAATATATATCTAGATCATATTCCTTGTTTTGGGTTAGGTTAGGTTAGATTCACGGTATTACGATTATTTCTTTAATTAATATAATGTATTTGTAAAAATTACACCAATAGGTAACATCTGAATATATATCTAGTTCCTCGTTTTTATAGTTACTTATATGTATAATAAAAAATACTTATAAAAATGTTATATTGTATTTTTTTTAAATATATTTTAGGGGTATTAGGAATCAAGGTTAAAATTATGCTTCCTTGGGATCCCAACGGCAAGAGCGGCCCGAAGAAGCCTCTTCCGGATTACGTATCCATCGTGGAGCCGAAAGAAGAAGTACCGCCGTCCGTTCCGATTTCCGAGGTGAAACCGTCTAAAGATATACCTTCTCAACCCACTCCTCTCGTCGTGTAATAATTATTTGAAATACATTTACAAAGAGAATCAAAGTGTGTTTTACTTTTAAAAATGCTTTAGGTATTTTTTATTTGGAAGGATTTGTCGACTGTATCTTGAGACAGTTCGACATACTAGTCTATTTATAAATTAATTCAAATTTTAAGCATGATAAATATTCAAATATTAAATAGAAATTAGAGAGCTAAAAATTAACAGTTATTTTGATTTCGAAAATAGTAGTTTGATCGAAGCTAGATATAATTATTATATGTATAATTCGAGCTTGATCAACAGTAGAAATATGTATATGAATATTAGGAACCTTAGAAGGATGCTGGCGATGTTTGAAGAAAGATAGGGCATTACATTATAAACCAAAGTTTGCTAGTATGAAGTATATATTTTGGAAGAACAAATCTGATACAATATGTGTTGTTACGTATAATTTTCAAGTATTTCTTCTTTTATTTCTTTTTTTATTGTTATGTCATCTTGTTCTTGGAAGTTTACTTCTTTTTTTATTGTTATGTCATCTTGTTCTGGGAAAATTACTTCTTTTTTTATTGTTATGTTATCTTGTTCTTGAAAGTTTACTTCTTTTTTTATTGTTATGTTATCTTGTTCTTGGAAGTTTACTTCTTTTATTGTTATGTGATCTTGTTCTGGGAAAATTACTTCTTTTTTTATTGTTATGTTATCTTGTTCTGGGAAAATTACTTCTTTGTTTATTATTATGTCATCTTGTTCTTGGAAGTTCACGGAACTTTCTTTTCTTTTTTTACTTCTTTGTCGACGTTCTCGTCTTTTGTCAGCTAATATTCTTCTTCTGCGGAGTTCCTCCAAAGAAAACAATTTTGGTGGATCACCAGGCCTTATGATTCGAGGAAAATGTTCCAATTTTTTCAATTGAAACATCTGTCTCAAATGTTCACGCATTAAATTTTTATCATACATAACAGTATCTGGCTTCACATTAAATAAAAGTGATACTGCAAATGCAATCGCAAAAACTCCACTATCATTACTACTGGATTGCTCTTGAACTTTTGGAAATACAACTGGTTTTTTTTTGAAAGGATGAAATGGATATAATTTATCAAGAAATACTTTATAATGCTCAGGCAATTGTTTTAAATTTAATGAATCATAAATATAAATTCTTCTTTTATCGTAATAACTACAAACCCAATGTCTAGTTGAATTAGATATTGTATCACTACAGCTATATAATAGTTGAATATGCTTTTGATCTTTAAAAACTGGTTCGATCAAATCAGGACATTGGATTTCCCATGATTCACGTGGTTGGTAATCCGAACAATTTTTTAATAATGATCCAAAATAATCAATATGAGCATCATTTAACGGTTCATCTTTCAATATGATCTGCATCGTGTAATCAATATAAGCATCATTTAACGGTTCATCTTTTAATGTGATCGTGTAATCAATATGAGCATCATTTAACGGTTCATCTTTTATTGTGATCGGGTAATCAATATAAGCATCATTTAACGGTTCATCTTTCACTGGAACCTGCATCGTGTAAATATTTAGAAAGAATCAACGGTAATAATTTTTGTTTATAATCAGCATTGATTTTAATGATATAAGCTGCCTGAGGCAAGTCTAGAATCAGGCGCTGATATACAGCCGATGTTTTATTTAATTTCAGTGTTTATATAGTGTCAAAACACAGTATAATTTTTACTGTTACCTGCAAATAAAAATTTATATATTATTAATATTTAATCATTTATATATACAGCATATAATACTTGGAAAATAACATACTATTATTTTTACCGAAAATATACTATATCACCCGTTTTATTAACCTATCATTTATCTTTAGTACATTATTTTGTCATTGTTGAAAGAATATTATTCAAAAATAAGGACAAATCAAATAGCTTAATCTTTATTAATAAAATAAGTAGAATGTTTTCAATATAATTAAAAAATAAGTGCATCGAGAAAACTAATTGGCATCATGAAAACAAAAGGACAAATATTTTCTTTCTCGTAGCAGTGAATTTCTAATCGTCACATATAAATAAATTAAACAACGCCGAAAATTAATTTCTCGAATCGACAAACCAAGTATAATATCGAATTAATTTTACATTAAAGCAAAACTCACGTTATAAGAAGCAGCGATAAAAAAAAGCTGTAAAAACTCTCAGAAACGTAATAGAAACGAAAACCTGCGTTTCCTTGCGTCTTTTGCCTTCACGAATAAGGCTGGCTGCACACCAGCCGCGATGTTCGTCCCGCGCGACATCCAATAAACGCACAGCTTTAGACTAAGAACAACGGTAAAGCTAAAAGCCGATTGGATATCGCGCGCGTCGCGACGAAATCGCGCTGGGTGTGTAGCCAGCCTAAAGCCGGGAGCACATGAAATGCATAAAACCCGTATCAGACTTTGACTATCAGACTAACGATTGAGATTGAGATTGTAATGGAATTTGACCAATTAAAACAAAGTTCACTAAATTTGAGATTGATTTTCTTTCTTCTAATTGGTTAAATCCCAATTCAATCTCAATCTCAATCTTTAGTCTGATATGGGCTTAACAAAGCATAAGCATTTAGCATAGCATAAGCCCGCTGGACCAATGAGCAGCCAGTATAAAGTCGCCATATTGATTTACATAAGATTCTTATTGGTCTAGCCGCCTTATGCTATACTTATGCCGCATTTATGCATTTCATGTGCTCCCGGCCTAATACGGAAACGTGTAACTAGCCATAAGCGCCATAAGCGGTGCCCTCTCTATAGATAATTCATGAGCATGGGTCTCCCTCGGCGCGTAATCGCGGGGGATAAAATTCCCCTAGAGACGCGACCGCAGCAGTGTTTTCAATCGCAGCAATTACTCCGGAATGTGGTAGCACGGCTGTGCTCCGAGCCGGACGGAGGGGGTGGGAATAATAAAACGTTAGGCGTGTCGGCGTCCGTTTTTTTCACGCGTGCGGCTCCGAGGGTCGCGGTTTTCGCCGATCGCTCGACGGTACCGGTCTCACGTCGCACCGGCGACGGCGGCGACCGGGTCCCCCTCCCCGTCCCCGCCACTCCCCTCCTTCTGCGGATCGTCTCGGCCGGATAGCGGAATGTCAAGGGTGCACGTGACCGCGACGACGCCGCGACGCTCCGAGTATGCCTGGACCGTGGACGCGCGGCGATAGCGTGTCTTGACGAGGGGGCAAAGCGGCAAAGCGCGCTTTGGCGGAACGCGGCCTGGACGCGGAGGTGAGGCCACTCGTCGCGCAACCCTCCTCCCTCCGCGGTTGCGTCGCGATACATGTGTACGCCGTTCGAGTCCGCGCGCACGAGAGGGTATGCTCTTATGGGGTAGCGAGCGGACGGTAGCCTTTGTCGTGGAATGGAGACGGAGAGCGTAAAGTCCGGGGCTAGCGAGCATAGCCATAGCCACCACAGCAGAAGCTCCCAGAAGCATCATCGTTCCCACGGCTCGCAGAAGCAGCATCACAAGCAGCATTCTCACCGCACCGCTAGGTATACATATCACCTGGATAAGTTTCACCTTAATCGTCCTAAAAAGATCGACGTTTTAATGATTCTCCGAACGTGTGTATTTGTGCGTACATACGTGTATACAGTTATACGACTGAAACACTGGCGAGTTATTTCCATCAATGACTAAAATTGTGACTGCTGAAGATCTTGTGATTTCTCGTTTTTATTTATTTATTTTTTTTAATCTTCTGTAATTTTCTCTATGACAGGAGCAATCGAAGTCAAAGGAAGGAGAGGCAGAATTTGGACACTAGCGAAATGGCTCCGTTTCAAACGACGGTGAACGTACGCGGGGACAGCGTGGATAACATGGGCCAGGAGGTGATCGAGGTGCAGATACTGCCGCAGGATGAGAATTGGGGGGAGAACACCACCGCCGTCACCGGCAACACCTCGGACAGGTCGGAATCGACCGAGGACGTGAGCCACTGGCCGAACGAGGCCGACGGCACGTTCGGCTCCAACTGCAATCGCTACGTCGGCCCGATCGTGGCGATGATACTCGGAATAAGCGCCTTCCTTAGCCCTATAGCCATGGTCATTCTGCCTAAGCTGGGATTCTTTCCCGACTCGACAACGGTACTGACGATGCAGCAGAAATTGCACCTGCTGTCCTGCAACGCCGAGTGCAAGGGCGAACTGCTGGGATTGGCCTTCAAGCTGGTGCTACTGGCCGTCGGTAGCTGGGCGGTGTTCCTGCGTCCGCGCACCGCCACCATGCCGCGCATATTTCTATTCAAGGCGGGAGTGCTGCTGCTCACCACACTGTGCATTTGTACTTATTGGCTTTTTTACGTTGTACAGGTAATAATATAATCCTTGGACCCCGTGATTCGCGCAGCCATTCTTCGCGAATGTTCGCGTCGTTGCTAAAGTGCTCCCGATACTTTTCAGGTCACCGAGAGTGCTAAGACTGTTGCCAATGGCGAAATAACAGAGTACAAAAGTTTAGTAAATTACGCAGGTACCCTTGCCAATACACTCCTATTTATACATTACACCGCAGTGCTCCTTATCGAAGTTCGTCATCTACAGCCTACGTTTTATCTTAAGGTGCGTAAATGTTTTTGATATTGGTTACTCAGTCTGATTGCAACATGCATTTTGAATTATATATATATATATATATATTTTATATATTGAATTTTATATATATATAATTGGATATTTTTTTTTGTTTACAGGTCGTTAGATCGCCGGACGGTGAATCGAGATCTTACGCGATCGGCCAGTTGTCGATACAGAGAGCAGCCGTGTGGGTTCTAGAGAAATACTATACAGAATTTCCGATTTACAATCCGTACTTGGAGAGGCTGCCGGTCCCGAAGTCCGGTAGGAAGCAGTCGAGCTTCAAGTTCTACGAGGTCGATGGTGGAGTGACCGGCGGCATGCAGTCGCGCGGCGGTAGCGGGGACCGGGCGGTCCTGGCGGCACAGGCGCGTCGCCGTGACTCCAGTCACAACGAGCGCTTCTACGAGGAGCACGATTACGAGCGACGGGTGCGGAAACGCCGCGCGAGACTCATCACCGCCGCCGAGGAGGCGTTCGCGCATATCAAACGTTTGCACTCCGAGGTGGACTCCACGCCGAATCCTGGGCCGATGGACCCTATGGAGGCCGCGCAGGCGGTGTTTCCCTCCATGGCGAGAGCCTTACAGAAGTACTTGAGAATCACACGGCAGCAGCCGCGTCATTCCGTAGAATCTATTTTGAACCGTCTCGCCCGGTGTTTGGCACAAGACGCGGCGCCGCGCGCCTTCCTCGAACCGTTCTTCGCCGCGAGCCCGGTGCTGTCGAACGAGAAGGAGAGGCAAAAGCGATCGCATCACTGGGCTCTGGTGTGCGAAGGCGAGCTACCCTCTCGCCCGATTGCTAACGGTTGTGAGTTTCAGCTGAGACAGGGCGAAGTGGCGCTTCTGTGTACTGCGCATAGATTACCGCATTTTAATCTCACCGAACAATTGGCGCATCCTAAATCGAACAAATTTCTTCTGCGTTTGAACTCGGAGACCTCCGTTTAAGATGCTCGAATAAAGTTCGGAGTAAGTTTGTTCTCGGAGGTTTAATGAAATTAAATGAAACTATATCCCAAGCAAATGTGCTTGAACAGATATTTGGCACAAATGATATTTTAGTCGAGATGACGTTTGATATAAAATCTTCCTGGGGCGAGAGTACTGTTGGAGACTTTATTTTGCGCTGAAAATGAACATGATAGGCACTAAATTTTGCCTCGCGCGGGGAATATTTTTTAAACATTATTTCGATTAAATCTCATTTGCGTCAAAAATATGTCGAAATTTTCACGAGATCGAAGGATAAATCTTTTTAGAATATTATTTGAAACTTCTGTTCACGGACTGTTGTATAACAATATAATAGTACTTAGATAATTCTAACACGATAGACTGAGAGAAACACGGCAGTTAGGAGAATAATTCGCCAGTCGCTTTCTTCACAACATTTATGATATCATTTTCTTCGAGAAAAAAATCACAATGACGTTAATAAGTATCCATACTTCTGAACATACCTTTAAGTAATTATTATGGAATAATAATTAATTTGTACTGTAATATAAAATACTCAGTTCTTTTTTACATTAAGATATGTGCATGCACATACATATATTTATTTATTCCATCGTATTGCATATCATGAATTGTATATATGTACACCTTAAATATATCGAAATGGATTTTTAATGTGTATATATACACATACTTATTTTGAAGCGAAATATAGATAGACTAATTTTTTTAGAACGATAGTTTGCCCGATAATAACTATAGATGTCGAATTCATTCGGACTCGTAGTATATTTTCGCTTTTATATATAATACTTTTGAATAAGTACTGTATATAATGTTGAATTTTTTTCTTTTATTACATAAATTTTTCTCTTGAAAATAGAATTGATACAGTATGATTTGAGGAAAACAAGGTATAAATCAAGTAAACGATGTTTTTTCTATTTTAGAACGAGGACAAATATTTCTTTTTTATCTATTACATTACAAATGTATTTTAAACTTTTCTGAAATAGTTTATAAGAACGACTCCAAATGAATCCGATATCCGGTATAAGAGATTGAATACGAATAATTAAATATTCATAATGACGTTTACATTAATTAATACGCATTCCTAAGTTTGTAAATCATGTTCGTAGTATCGTACTTTCACGAAGAAGATAATTATGCTTTAAATATATAAAATTTATACATATGTGTTCATACGCATATGCGCACATATAGCAGCACACACGATTCATATATTTCGTATATTTGTTAAAGGAAAAACACGACACTCATATCTTGGTATCCTGTGTTTTGCAATGTAACGGTACGCACAGTAAATATACTCGATATTTATAGCCTTAATTTTTGTACTTCAACGTTTGTATTTTGACGTTTTCTTTTATATTATGTTTATTTTGATATAGATGTTTATTATTAAGTATCATATACACACGAAAGATGAATGAGAATTACTAGATGATAGAAATCAATATGATCCTCTGTTAAGTTTGCTCTCTTTAATTTTCATTGTACTAAACATTTCTGAGTTGTGATTAGATAAGAATTATCTTTCATTAATAACTTATATCTGTACACATATCTGTACACATGCTATATGCGTTTAAATTATCCTCTTTTTGTTTACTCTTAAATGTTTGCTAATAATAATAATAATACAGAAAAAGCATTACGAATGTTTTACAAATAAATTTTGAAAATAATTTTATGTGCTAGTCAACTTTTTCTTATTGGATGTTATACTTATTATTTAATTGCAGTTTTCCGTCTTCCTACATTTCTCAATTTGTAATCATTGTAATGATTATTCAACGCAAACATTTACGAGTAAGCTGCAAAAGTAATTTTAAACATGAGTGATTAAATGCTTGGACTACGAATAGACGTAATAATATAATTTATTAATTAAATCTCATTAATTAACATATCTCTTGGCGCGCATTTTCGGAAGAATCTAAGCGCATTCTTCTATATTATTTGATAAAAATATACAAATTTGCAAAATTGCGTAACATGTATATATAGCAAACGGAAAAATTCTATGATTGGATTATATGTATATATTCATGCAAATCTTTTATCATTGGATAAACTATAAAATATAGCTTGAATTACAAGCCTAATAAGAGAAGAAGCCAGATTTTATATCGGAGTTGTTGAATTTTTTTATCGCATTCCGAGATTATATGTCGTCATCATCGTAATGAGATTGATAAAAAAAATGTAAAAATATAAGTTTCCTATAAGGAGATAAGCTTTCCGAGAAAGCATACAAGTTTATAATAAGCACACGTGGTCTTTATGCTTGTATAATTTTTTCACTGATATCGTACGCTTCGCTACATTTGTAAATCTTATAAGACAAAAGTAAATGGAAAACATCTGGAGTTTTTTTAGGCTGCGCTAGTTCGATGGACCTTGACTTAAAAAACATTGGAGGAGATCAAGAATATTTTGTTTTATAACTTGGAATTATTATGAGTACTCGTATATATTTTTTACCACCGAACTTTTGCTATGGATGTCTTTTTTTATTTATGTGTGCTCGTGATGACTGTGTACTATTTGAAAGACGAAATACATTTGATGTATAAAATAAAATCTCCTTTTTCTTTCTCAAGAAATCTTCCTTAATATGAAAATTTTATTCGGAAAAATTATTGCAATTTCTCTAGCATAGTATTATATATTATAGCAAACAATAAATTTATGTAAAATAATAAAAACATTCACAAAATTTGTGTTATAAAAGATTTAATTATCTATAGAATGTATTGTATATATGAGTTACAATAAAGAATTGGTATGTACGTTTAAAAATATGATAATCAATCCTTGAAAATTTCAAGATAAAATTTGAGGATTATAAAAAATTCAAAATATCCAAAGTAGAAAAAAAAAAACAATACTTGAAAAAAAATACAACAAACTAAAAGTATAGTGTAGTAGACTGGAAATATACCGAGGCACAAGATAGTTTCAAACTAGATAACAAAAGAATTATAGACTTATTAGCTCTCCCTCCTCCTATAAGCTCTATTATAGCTTGTTCATTTCGATAATGGAAGCTAATGTTTGAAAAACTGAAGTTGAGCACGTAGCTTGAATAATAAGAACTTAGTTACAAGTTATAAGTTTCTATATTTAACAGAGTAAACATAAAATTTATTCATTATTTTATATGCAGTTAAAAGATCGAAGTTCTACTCTGTATATATATATAATTGCATTAAAATAATATAGAAAGATATAGAAAGATATTTGCATTAAAATAAAATTCTGTTTTGGGAAAAATCCAAAATGTGATTTTAATTAATTGAACAAAAAATATATCCGGATAAAGACTTCATTTAGTATGCATAATATTTATTGCAAATATAACGAACGTCAAACGTACTTAATATTTGGACAAGTGTTTTGCAATATCGTGTTTTACGTATAAATGTTTTTATGTGCAAAATGAGTGCATCATTTGAATAGAATTGTGTAATGCTGTTAATATCTTATCTGACCATATATCTTTCCATGACTATTATATTGGCCAGACTTTTAAGTAGGCTGCTTTCTTGTTCTTTTGAACAAGTTCTCCATCAAAGTCTCCATCGGCGGAGTGGTGTTATCGTTTCAGTACTATATATATAGTATATGCTTCCAACTTGAAGCATTTCTTTGAACCACCATCATGCTGACACATCGTTTCTTTATGTAAGATATGAGACTTTTTTTACATATATAACATTTATTTTTAGTATAATAATAAATTAAACACTTGCATATTGTTTATATAATATAATAGTATATAATATATTATATATAGTATAATAGAATAGTAGAATATACATTAATTGTCTATAAAAAATGTATATATGTCTATAAAATATGTTAATTTATTGCGCATAATATTACACGGCCCTATGCGTTATAAGATATTAAAATATATACAATTCTTAATATAAAATTAATTCAGAAAATGTATAGCGAAACGACAGTTGCTAGATCTAATATTACTGTATTATTAGACCTGTAATTGTGCGTTACGTACGTTATACTTCCCGCATTTGCAAAAGGAAATAAACGTATAATTAAGCGATAAAAAGAACAAAAGGAAAATAAGAAAGATATAAAAGTTTAATTTCTATAATACTTATAATACTTATAATTCTATAATACTTATAATTAATATAATATAGTTAATATATAGTTAATATAAAAAACAATAAATTAAAACATACACGTCCTGATAACAGCAGATGATAATCACTATTATTATTTCCTAATTTACAGTACTTTTTGTTTCTAAAAAAATGTTATAGAGCTTTCTTGGTGGCCGCAACGTGTTCGCACGTAGCGTTCGCGGCTCCAAATAACAACTATGATACAAACCAGGACTACGAATTGTGCACCACGCAAGATTGCGTGAACGAAGGTACGCGTTTAAATTCGTCATCTTGTTACTTCATAGATTATTCTGTGTTCATAAATTATTCTCATCGCTTTTACGATGTGTCATCCCTTTTACGCTATATTACTTTTACGATGCGTGACTTATTTCGTAACGTCATCTTTGTTACTTTTTATAGCGTCAAGGATCTTGGATTATATCGATCGTACGATTGATCCTTGCGACAACTTTTACAAATTTGCTTGCGGCGGATGGGTACAGAAGAATCCGGCAAACGTGTCGTATCCGAGAATTAGCTCGCTGTCGATCATGAGTCTGAAAACGTTAGAAGAAGTTAAAAGTACGATATTGTTTAACTGTTATTTATTGTTCCAACATTGACGATGTTATATAAATTCAATTATTTGAATTATTACTCTGATTCCTATAATTTTTGCTGCAATTTTTACGAATTTGCGATCGTTCGTTTATCGTCTGCAGAAATCGTCGAAGGTGCTCCTGAACCAGACGATACGGTTTCCTTAAATAAAGCGAGGAAGGTATACAACATGTGCATGGATACTGGTACGTGCAACAGCGCTACAAAAAAAAAACAGATCGATTAAAACGAGTATTTTTCAAATTTGAATACCGGAAATTCAGGAGAAAGATGGAAGAGAAATCGTTCCTTTATTTCACTTTCAGAGACGCTCGAGAAGGTCGGAATCAGTGGCCTTAGAAGAGTTGTCAAGATGAATGGTGGCTGGCCAATAACTATGACATCTAGGGAATGGAGATGGAAAGGATATAAAATGTGGCAACAAGTTAGCAACTTGTTGGAGAAAAATATGTTATACAACGGCCTTTACGGGATAACGGTGTCGGTAGACGAAAAGAAGTCGGACACCAACATCATTACAGTACGTGCATAATTTATATTCTAAATATCGTTTTGCTATATTAGAAATTTTATGTAAATATACAACAATACACAGTAATTGCAAATTTTCCCACTTATTAAAAGAAAACAGGTATTTAGAAAAAACAACAAAGCGAACAAAGAAATCGAGGCAATTGGATAAAATCAATATTTTTTCAGATCGTTGAACCTGACTTCTATGCTCCGCGCGACATTCTGATCGGTTTTGAAAAGAACCTTGCGGAGAAGATGGAATATAAATCTCTGATCGAAAAAACTGCGAATATCTTTATAGAGGACCGAGGCGTGCATATCAACTCTGAAACGCTCAGTCTGGACGCGCTTGATCTCGTGGATTTCGAGATTGAATTGGCTAAGGTTGCAATTGAAATCACCGCGTAGTCTAATTTTCAGATTGATCTTGTTTCTGCAACGATAACATGTGTTTCCAAATTCTTTTTCTTTTTCTTTTTTTAAGATTTCTCTTTCCCTTTTCCGGAATTTATTTTTTTATTTTCTGAGATTCCTTTCACTCAATATCTTTATACCGCTAGAAATAGCTTTAACGATTTTCACAATTATAATCATTATATCTTGCGTTCTATTTTAACAGAAATAAGATTATTTAGTCAGTTTAACGTAGAAACGTCAATCAATTGAACTAATTTGATTTGTTTTAAAATCCGCAGCTGACATTGTCTCTCGAAGACGCTAGAGATGTCGACAAAACCTACAACTTGTTAACGATTCAAGAATTGCAGCGGGCGTATGATGCGCAACATCCAACAAAAAAGAGCAAGGTTGGTTGATACTTTATATGTTTAAATTATTACACAAGTTATATATTATTTATATCATTTAACTTGCACTTTATATATTTTCGTTATAGATAAACTGGCATTATGAAATTCAAAAATTGTTTGCGCCAGAAGGAATTGTAATCAAACCATCTGAGAAGCTCGTCGTTCAGGCGTACAAGTATCTTACCTCTCTGGCGTCCCTACTGGAACGAACAAACAGTCGTACTATCAGTAAGATTATCAGAATATTCCAGTCGTGTAAAGATGCCACAAATTTTTTTATAAAGAATTTTTATCGTCACGATAACGAAATTTGATTTCAGTAAACTACATGCAATGGACTCATATCAGAAATCTATTACCTTACACCAAAATTACCGAACCAATCGCCTATCGCCTTGCCGCTCATTTCAAAAACGAGAGTCCGGAATTGACAAGGTATTATGTTATCATTGTTGTTGTTGTTATAATCTTTTGTGAGAAATGATATGTTAAGTTGGAAAAGCGACTAATATAGCTATTAAAGATTTTTCTATAATAAAGCTAATGTTAATTAAATGAACTTTATCAAGGTGGAAGAGTTGCTTGAATAAGGATGGCAATTTACACACAGCTATCTCACAGAAGTTTGCCACCAAATACGTGCAGCTCGAGAATAAAAAATACGTGAGTTCTATTAATATTTACAAATAAGAATTAAACATAAATATGAAAACGAATAAAACTGATTAAACTATTTAAACTTGATACTTAACTACTGAATTGAAATAACTGAATTATTCATTTTAGATCGGCGAGATAATCAAGGATATCGCAAATGTCGTTCGCGAGCAAATCACAGCGTCCACTTGGATGGACGAACCTACGAAAAAGGTATCTCTTGAGAAATTAGATAGCATGAGAGAGCAAATCCTCATCCCCGAATGGTACAGCAACGAAGCTATTGATAAATATTACAATGGTGTAAGTGTATTGATGACAATAATATTTTATAAATGTGTAAGCAACGAATGACAAAAATATTGAACTCTTTTAACATTCTTTTTTAAATAATTTTTAATATAGAATTGTTATTGCTATAAATAGATTATTTTCTCTCTCTTTCACACACACACACACACACACACACACGCGCGCGCGCGCGCGCGCACGCACGCACGCACGCATAAAAATTTTGATTTTGTTATAAAACAGTGTATGTTGCTAATCGCGCTCATTTGTTTCAGTTAACTATCACTTTGGATTATCTCGAGAGTGCAATAAATAAAATTAATTTCGACATCAAAAAAGTTTTACAGAAACTGCGCAAACCTGTTGATAAAAACGAGTAAAGCTATCACAATTCTTCTTTAATTTATTATAATATTACGTATTTTTACAAAAAAATATTACATAATGTTAAAACAATTTTAATAAAATAATATACACGAAATTAAGATGATAATTATTCTTTTTTATAGATGGCTTATGCAACCGACGATTGTAAATGCTTATTATGATCCATCTGGCAATACAATTGGTAAATGTTAAGAAGTACTTACTTATATTTTCTTTCGAATAATCCGAATTGTATTATTAACTTACCTCTTTTAGTTATCCCTGCTGCCATAACGCAAAATCCCGTATACGATAAAAATCGTCCTGCGTAAGTATTTACGTGAAAGATACGTGACATAATATGTTACACATTGTTATTTTCAAGAATTAATAAATTGCATTGAAATAATCCACATATTATATTATATAAATTCAACATCATACGTTCAAAAAGAAATTTCTATTAAAAATTGCAATGTGAATGTCATTTTTTGCAATTGTTTAATTTCTTACTTTATATAATTATTTTCTTTCTAATTTATATATAATTTTTCGTCAGGTTCATGAACTACGGAGCACTGGGAGTTGTCGTCGGACATGAAATAAACCATGGCTTCGATAATACTGGTATGTAATTTTCAGCTAGACTTTTGACGAAATATCGTATGTATAATGTACATTTTGCAGGTCGTAAGTACGACAAAAACGGCAATGCCATAGAATGGTGGACGCAGAAAACTATAAACAATTACGAGGAGAAGGCACAATGCTTTGTCGATCAGTACAACGGTTATTTGGTGCCAGGTCTGGAAAACGTTTATGTAAGCATTCGCGCATAATAAAAAGATTCTAATTTATTAAACATATATAAAAAATATAATTAAATGTTATATAAATTTGTTTGAAGCAAGTAACAATCTTGTTCAGCAGAGAACAATTTTTATCTTCTAGATTAAATCTGTGTGTAATTTTTGATCATTTTCGTGTTTTTTAATATCTTATCAAATTTAATATCTTATCTTTAAATCTTTAAATACTTTCTAAAGTTTTTTTGCGTTACTTAAAATCTCTCTTTGCTCTTGATCATACTAAGTTTTTTCTGAATCATCTGAATTTCGCAGGTGAATGGAAAATTGTCGCTAGGAGAAAACATCGGCGATTCCGCTGGTCTCGTAGCTGCATATTATGCATATATGGCCAGAAAAGCGAGACTGAACGAGTCTGAATTGCGATTGCAGGGATTGGAGGACTACAGCGATGCTCAAATCTTCTTTATGGGTTTCGCGCAGGTAAAGTGTCGGCGACATGAAAACAAAACGTTAAAAAAACCGTTCGATGGACGATCAAACTTGAATATTGGAATTGTTAGCAACGATTTAATTCTTTCAGGCGTTCTGTCAAAATGCCACGCCAGAACAAATACGATTGCTCCAGACGGATGAGCACCCAATGCCGGAAACGAGAGTACGGGGCAGTTACTCGAATTTCCCTGAATTCTCCAAAGCTTACAATTGTCCAGCAGGAAAGGGAATGAATCCGGATAAGAAATGTAATTTGTGGTAACGGAAACGACGGATCGACCATAATGTGAAATGTGAATAATTATACAATTTAAAATTTTCATTTTTTGAAGTAAACGACCTATTAAAACATGTAAAATGTATATAAAACATTGTAATAAAATATTCTAAATATATATTATGTAAGTAGCATATATACTAACATATTGTTGATATAAATATCGTATTTCATGCAAGACAAGCACTTGCGTATAAATATATATATATATTTTTATATTTATCTACCTATTTTTAGGTCCACGCTCTGTAAGGTACTTTTTATACTGGAAAAAGTAATGTAGTTTTACCGGAAATGTATGTTCAATCATCATATCTTTATTATTTAATTCGGACATTACATCTGTTACATACAGATATTTTGTTTTATATATAACATAGTTTTTATTAAAGACCTCGTTTCTCAATTCTGACTTTTAACGGCTCAGTGGTAGATAATATTATGTCTGTCTGTAACTTTATCTTATTTATCTCTATGCTTTCATCTACTTTGAATACAAATGTTCGTACCAAAGTAGCTAGAATGACTTTCATAGAAATCATCGCGTATTTCGCACCTGCAAGTTTGTTAATTAGTTATATCTCTATTTTATTACAATATTTTGTAAATGATTTATGCTTACCTATACAATTCCTTGGTCCGTCACTAAAAGGGATATGGTAATACGAGTGATGATTCTTTATTCTTTCTGGAAGAAATCTATCAGGGTCAAATTTTAAAGGGTTTGGCCAGTATTCTTCATTTCGGTTCATTCGTATAAATGATATGATAATATTACTATTTTTTGGTAAAATCGATTTACCTAAAATATATCTTTTTGTATTTAAACGTTATTGTAATATAACTACAACAAAAATAAATAGTGCTTATCTAACAATTCGCTTTGAATTTTAATATTTTTAGTGGATTTTGAATAAAACATTAATCATGTCATTGATGTTTAGTTATTTATGTATCTGAAACTCAATTTGCTCTTATCAATTATCTACAATTAATATGATAAGATTATTAAAAAATTATTGTTTGGTTATTTAAAAATATGAACACACCTATCTTCATATCTTTGGTTAATTGTCGGCCTGTTATAGGAATTGCAGGAAAAAGTCTCATCGTTTCCTTAATTACTCGATCCAAATAATGCATGTGTTGTATATCATCATATTTAATTGGTGCAGACGTTGGCATTTCCGTACCATAAATTTCCGATAATTCTTTATATACTTTATCCTTTTAAATTTCAGTTAAAATGGAATAAAATAAAATATTTCTTTACACATTATGTATATAATACATTATTGATTGTAAATAGTCAATAATCGAATTTGTAAAAATTGATATTATTATGGTAATAATCAAAGTATTGAAAATAAAATAATGCAGATATTTAAAACAAATATTAAGATATATCTTTGTATTTTAAAATTATGTTATTTTTATAACTCTTTTGTTTAATTAATTAATAAATTCAATCGTCTTGAATTGAACATTATACATACTTGTATTTCTGGGAAATTTGCTAACATAAAGATAACAAAATCTAGAGTAATGCTGATTTTACCACTAGCCTGGTAAAGAAAAAGATAGAATTTTATTTTATTATCTATTTAGAAATATATATTTGCATGCAGCGTTAATTAACATACCGTTACCATAAGCGTAATTACATTATCACGAATTATTTTTTCCGTAAAATTATTTTTACGAAATGTTTCCATCAGATTATCAAAAAACGTTTTATCTGTATTAAATAAATAAAAAGATTGGAAACAATTAATCATTATTTTTCAAGTTCTATGATGATAAATAATTTACATTATTTCCATATTGAAAAAAATTATGTCAACACAAAGATATAAAAAGATTATTTTAATAGTAAAAGAATGTCCTGCATTCTCTTTTATGTTGGTTTAATTGCAACTTTTAGAACAATGTATTTTACAAACATTGCAATATCATAAAATATAGGCTTTATATAACACATTGATACTTACAACTTGTATTAGTTTTTGCCTCAGTTAGTTTTTGTCTTGTACGTAATTTACTTGTTTCGTACTGCTGAATTATCTGTATAAAAATATATAACGTAGATTATAAGCAAAGCATTAAAGACTGGTATTTAAGAAACATATTCAGTACCTCATTAGTGAGAGAATTTATTAACTTTAAAATCTTTTGCTGTTTGCGTCCTAAAGTTGTCCAATTAAATATACAATCGTAAAACAAGAAATCATTCAGTATCCATGTAGAATACATCCTGTATTTCAAAATTTTTCTAAATCTGAAACATATTTCTGTTAAAGTTATATTCTATATATAAGATATATATAATTTTTTATACGGGGAATAAAATTATTTAACCATTTACAATTGTTAAATTTTATAAATGTAATTAAAGAACATTGTAACATATTTGGTTTTTTATAAAACTTTATTTCAGACAGTTTGCTAATTCTTTAAATATTTTCTTGTTACTTGAAATTCTTAAAAGTACGTTTTTTCTCAAAAATGTAAAAATTTTGTTCAAGCAAAATTATTTTCACGACATGTACGTATGTATGAATTACAAGAATTAAAAGATTATGTACCTCATAATTGCTTTTATATATTGATCCTTTTTATCTGATTCTATTTTGATACCCATTGTGTCTAATTTATCATATAAAAAAAGCTTGTTATTTGAAATATTAATATAAATCTGCCTATTTTAATATACATATAAAATATAATTATTCTTAATTTTATCTTATGTACTAATCAAATGTGTGTTAATATAATGTCAAAAAAGAATGAGCGTATTTCACAACAAAATATAAAAGAAATTGTTGTTTGCACAAGTCGCTTTATTTTATTATTTTTATTGCTTGTTTTAATGTGTAACTATTATATCATATACCGAACTTCTATAACATGAATCTTATCATTAAAATGGTTAATAAAGTAATAATAAATCCAAAAATTAAAATTTACCACTAATTCTATACACTATCCAGACAACACAAAGGCCAGTATTCATAATTGTTTCTTATATTTAAGACTGCTTTAATTAAGTTTTAAGATGTCAAAAAGTGAATTACAGAGCTGTATAGCGTCTTAAGATCCTATTTAAAATAAGAAATTTTAAAATAAGAGCGTCTTAATTAGATAGTAAATCTTAAAATAAGAAATCTTAAAATAAAAGTGGACTATGAATACCGGCCAAAGTCTAAAATCGAAATATAAAACATCTTTAAGATGTCCTTTTATAATTAGATTGAGATCAAGTAAAGATGTTTGAATTACTTGTTTTAATGAATAAATTTTTATTATATACGCATAGTTTTCAAACAAAATAAATTACATATCTTTACCACATGCAATGTCCATAGCACAGTTTGCGATAAATTCAATGAAGGTAATTTTGTTTCCATTTAATCCCACTTTTTCTAATTTGTTGGCCAGTAATAAAGATTGTTCTACGAATGTATCAAAAAATTCTTGAAATATGATCGGACTAAAGCTTGAAGCTATCATTTTTCGATTTTGAACCGATTCAGATGCTAAAACAAACATTTTAGAGGAGATAGTAAGAAAAAGAAATAATAATATTGTAATATTAAAAAAAGAAACATTAATTGGGAAGCTTTTTTAAAAAGTTTGTGATATTATTTTCCAAAATTCGAATACAAAAATATTATATAAATTAATAAAAGTGTAAATAAAATATGGTATAAAAGTAAATACATCCTAAAACATAAATAAAAACGTCTTATATTATATACATTCTTGTAATTAAGTAATTACAAAAGAGCAATTAAATAATTATTCTTTTAAATATACTTTACCGGGAACTGTTAATAATCCCATGCCGAATATTGAATGGGTAAATTTATACAATAAATTTTTGTCTAAGCAATGTCGACTTTGTAAGATAGTCTGTAATGTTATACATTTATTAATATTTTCATTGCTTTTATGTGTTTGCTTATCATGTAATTAATATTTTTTATAAATTAATATCATTTAGTTAAAGTAAATTACATAATAAATATACATATATATAATTTTATTACAGAAGATTCTAACTCGCTATATCGTTTAGTTTGCAAAAAATAACTTAACAATAAAGGCAGAGAGAGAGACGGATATGTGCACATCCATAATGCACATCACTTATCTCATTAAACGGAATTTAACGTCAGATTACGTTTATCGCGAAATACGGACGATACGGACCGTCGTCACGCGATATTTCGAATATGATATATAAAATATTTTATGATATAGCTTGAAGTAGATATTAATTAATTTTATGCAATAAAGTTTAATTTTATATAATAGAATGTAAACGTTATATTTACCTTTACTTGGTTTGGTTCGTATATTACAACGAATGGTATATAATTCATCCATACTTGAAATGGGGATGGATAGTGTTTTCCCAGCAAATTGATAATATCCAATAACTCTAAAAAAATGTTGATATCCTTGAAATACAGACTTGTAATATTATTTGCCTATACATTATTAATAGAGGATAGAATTTTAGATAGGATTAAAGAGGATAGGATTAATATGTAAATGTATACATAATTTATAATGGATATATAATAGATTTATATAACGTTTACAAATGCTTTTTGTTATGTTTTATATGTATTTGTGACGACTTTAAAAAGTTTATATACATTTTTATTTTAATACAGGGAAGTAGTTGATCAATAATTACATAGAATATAGACTTATAGAACAAGGACATTGTCTTATTACATACATTTTATTAGGTTGTTAACAAACAATTTACATTAATTTTCATATAATTTTTTAAATAATATTTTAATAACAAAATTATTCTCTCTTATCAGAAACGTAATTACTCTTTTAATAATAAATAGAAGTTATAACATTGAACTACAGTAAAAAAAACAACATGTAATTATATATATTATTCATCGATGGCATCGAAATTAAACCGGAAACATGAAAGATTGCATCAAGGTGATGTAGAGAAAATAAAAATAGAAATGCGAGATGTGCTTAAACGATTTATTCCGAGAAGTTTGACAAAGGCCGCTTAGTAAAGCAAAGTAATGTATATCGATAATCGCGATACCGAGAAGTCATCTCTAAGAAGGTAAGGAGGGGAAACAAATCCGCGAATATGTTTATATCGATTAGACAGCTGATCGGTAACAACTGTCACAAGTACAGACAGTTTCGGTAATTAGTATGAAATAAGAATTAAACATAATATACAATAAGCATTTGAAATAAATTCAGTACATAATGATAAAGGAAATTATAATAAGTAATTTAAAGGATATAAGCCTGAACAAAATTAAATAAATGTTTTGAAAGCGTTAGATTCTTGTTATTATGTTGTGTATAAAACTGTTGCAGTTATGAAAAAGTAATTCTATTACATTATTACAAAACACAAAATATAACACATTTTAGCATACAATATATAAAATCCTTTCTAAAATATTTAGTTCTTGACTGCTTTTTACTTTGCATAATATCTTTATAAATAAAATAATAGGATAATAATTTATTGCTAATTAGAAGAATTTTTTTCTTTATAAGTTAATATATTATTATTTATTATTACCGTCAGGAGTTCCACGAAGGAAGTTTCTAAAATGTTGTCTTGGACCTGGCAGAAATTCTTTTTCAACGAAGCCTAATCGACAATAGTAATTCCAAACGAAGTAGCTTACAACACACGCCGAAATAATTAACGCAACACTTACAAATATCATAGCACTGAGTAATAATAACAACAAAATAGCAAAACAATTCTATTTTAACGTCACTATCCGAATGCAACTGATCCCCGACTTATTGACGCTTTTATTACGTCTTCCCCACTCAAACAACTATAACGCAATAGTCTATATACTTAATTGTATTGTTTATAAAGGAAAATTTTAATCATTAAAGGAAAATATTTAGAAGGTTAAAAAAAAGGAGATTTTTATAAGTTTTAAGGGAGACACTATAGGATAATTCATTCGTGCACAAATTAATAATAAAATCAAATAAATGAATTTAATTGTATCTCGTCTTTACAATTCAAATATATGTAAAAATCTCACAATTCTCTTCAACTCACAACTTGTAACTCGTAACTCTTAGTTCAGAATTTGTCGTTATACTTTTAATTTGACGACGCGATTCGCGACTTTCTTCGCAACTCTCGTCAACGTCTCGCTTCATCGACGTCTCTCAAATTCTCTGCCGATGAATTCTCTCTTCGTTGACGTCTCACGTCTTCTCAATTCCTCTTTGTACTGATCGAGACTCCGATATGCTCCTTCCGTCAGCTCCCTTCGTCAGCCGTTAAAGAAGCTCACGATAAATTAAAAAAGATAAATTAAACGGTACAAACTAATGCACCGGCTCTTTCGATCAGCTCCAATTAAGAAACTCTTGATACATATTGCGCGATCGGGTTACGCGTCGACGACGTCATGTCGCCAGGAAATGCGCATACTCTATTCATCCTACATGGTATATATTAAATAATATGAAATATAAATACAATATACAAGTATTATAATAAAGCATAAATAATGATACCAAAAGTTTTTTTCTGAAAGTTGTATACAGATTTCATTTCAAGGAGCACTTGGTATGCATTTAATTACATTTATTATTGATTATTGTAGAGCAATAATAATTTTAAAAGATATCGTACATACATTATAAAAATTGTGCAAAACACAATTGAATATAGCCATATCTAATAATTAAAACTTGAACAAATGCATTAATTGAATTTTATTGAAATAATTTATTTAAAAAATCTTATAAAATCACATAATTTTTTAAAATGTAAATTACTTTTTTACTATAATGCATTAATAATAAATTGAATTAAAATATTTCTTAAATATATTTTTGATTAAAAAAAGAATAAAATAAAGTACGCTTATCAAATTAGATTTAATATAATGTGTCAAGTATCGAAATTAGTTTAAAGTGCAAAAAACTGCAGAAAATTTGGCGTAAACATATTTTATTAATAATATTTTATTAATAATATTTATATTATAAAATTTTGATTAATTTAAATATTTATTAATGAGAACTTGGTTAAAAAACAGTCTTGAAATTTATTTTAGTCTTATAATATATTGTTACGTACACAAATTCATTTTGTTATTATTTGCATGACGATATTTGTATGAAAAGACTATTGTGTATTTCCGTATTTCGTTGTGTAATTATCCCTCATTATTGTTCTTTGAACAATTAAGAATTATTAATTTATATATTTTAACAGTTAATTGCTGGAATATTCCTTAATTATTATAATAACTCGTAAGACAATGACTAATTTATTAAAACAAACGAATATCGACGGTCGCATTTATTTCATATACTATACAATTTTTTAATTTCTGAGACCGAACAAAATATATGCTTTTACAATATTACTCATAAGTTTAATAACAATCATCATTTAATTTATAAATGTACAATTATTATAAAATTAATTATTAAAAAATTTTTAACAAGTTAACTTAAAATATTTTATTATTTTATTTTATGTGTTACAATGGTATAAAATATTACAAAAAATTAAATTTGAACTAATTAATTATAATTTTTGCGTTGAGAAAAATAAGAAAATTTTATAATTTTTAAATACTTTGTATTTAATTAGGATTTAATTACAATAAATTTTCAAAGATCCAACTCAAAATGTTTTATTTTTATATATTATTACATTAGACAAGAAAAGATTAAGTTTAGAAATTAAATTACAGTTGTGTTAATCTTGCAATACAAGACTTCGTGTAGAAATATATATATTTTTTATTAACATATATTATACTTTGATTAAATACAGATATTGTTTATCTGACATATTTTCTATAATATCTTTATTCGAGATTCCGTTTCTCAATCTTAACTTTTAAAGGCTTGACAGTAGACAATATTATGTCCGTCGTTAATTTTATGCTACTTATTTGAATTCTCTTATCTACTTTAAATACGAATGTTCGTACCAAAGTAGCTAGAATGACTTTCATAGAAATCATCGCATATTTTGTAGCTGCAAGTTTGTTAATTATACGTAAATCTCAAATTTATTGCAATATTTTGTAATCTATTCATGCTTACCTATACAATCCCTTAGTCCATCACCAAAAGGGATGTGATAACATGAAAGACAATCCTTTATTCTTTCTGGTAGAAACCTATCAGGGTCAAATTTCAATGGATTTGGCCAACACTCTTCTTTTCGATTCATCAGTATAAGTGGTAAGATAACGTTAGTGTTTTCCGGTAAAATAACATCATCTAAAATGTGTATCATTTGTATTTAGTCATTACTATAGAAGCATAATAACAAAAAATGTTACAATTTGCTTTAAATTTTATTATTTAGGCGGGCTTTATTATGCACATATATACATAAAATTGGCAAACCGTCTTATTTAAATAAAAATTAAAGTATTTTTATTAAATTATTATTTAGTAAATCTTGATTAAAACAAATGTTATTTCATCTAAAATTTTTCTATCAAATTAAAATAAACACACCTATTCTCACGTCATCAGTTAACTTTCGGTCAATTAAAGGAATAGCAGGAAATAGCCTCATAGTTTCCTTAATTACTCGATCCAAATAATGCATATGTTGTAAATCTTCGTGTTTAACTGGTACGGACATCGGCGTTTTTGTACCGTAAATTTCCGATAATTCTTCATATACTTTTTCCTTTTATAAGATTAAATTAAACATTTTTTATATCGATACAATTCAAACATTATTTATAATAATTTATAATATATTGTAATAGTTATTAATTTAAAATTATTTATTATAGAGATTTATTAATTGAATTTACAAATTAATATTTTTATTTTGGTAATAATCGAAGCGTAATTATAATAATATGTTAATAATGCACATATTTAAGATATATATTAATATACACATCTTCTACATTTTAAAATTAAACTGATTTTTACAATGTTTTATTTAATTAATTAGTAAATTTGATCGTTTTGAAATAAAAATACATACTTGTACTTCTGGGAAATTTGCTAACATAAAGATAACAAAATCTAGGGTAATACTGATTGCATCGCTGGCCTGGTAAGAAAAAATAAACTTTTATCTTATTATCTACTTAGAAATACATTTTACTCAACAAAATTAAAGCCTCTCTTGCCCTATCTTCCAAAAACAAGCAAATTTCAAGATTGAGTAAAATGATCATAATGAGGTTTTTCAAAAAACATTTCACAGCTTAAAGTCTCCACTTTTTAAATTTTAATATTTAGAAAGCGACTAATTGATTTTTTTCGGGGCACCATCGATAAAAATTCGGAAAAAATTTTGTGATGTGGTGCATCTCTATTTGTATCTATAAGGTTCCGAAAAAAATCAGTTAGTCGTTTTCTAAAGCATCAACTTAAAAAGTGGAGGCTTCAAGCTATAAAATGTTTTTAAAAAAATCTCGTTTTGATTATTTTTAATGAAGTTATTCTATTGTGAAATTTGTTTGTTTTTGGAAAATAGAACAGGTGATTCTTTAATTTTGAATAGTACATATCTGTATTCAGAATTGACATACCAGTAAAAGCATAATTACATTATCATAAATCATTTCCTGTGTGACATTTGTTTTGTGTATTTTAGATAATTTCATCAGAATGTCGAGAAACCTTTTATCTATATTACATAAAGAAAAAGATTGTTTAGAAAAAATTATTTAACTTTCTAGTGATGATAAATATCCTACTTGCTTTTTGTATTAAAAAAATTATATTATTATTTAAAAACACATTAAAAAAAGTATTTCAATAGTAGAAAGAATGCACAGCACTTTAATGTTTGGTTTAATTGCAATTTTTTAAATGATTTATTACTTACACATTTTGCAATATCATGAAATATAAATTTCGTATAAAATAAGATTATACTTACTTGTATCAGTTTTTGTCTCGGTTGTATGCGATTTATTTAATTCATGCAACTGTATTATTTGTACAGAAACACACAATATAAAATGAGTAAAGCATAAAAAATACATTTAGAAATATTGATATAATTAATCAGTATATACCTCATTGATAAGACAATCCAATGATTTCAAGAGCTTTTGTTGTTCGCGTCCCAAAGCGGTGAGATTAAAAATAACATTATGAAATAACAAAACATTATCCATCATTATAGAATATATTCTATGTTTTATAATTTCTTTTAATCTGAAACATGCTTCTTTTAAAGATAAATTCTATTATTTATTATCATTATTAATAATTTTATTACATTGTTATATAATTAATTTTATAAAAAGTTTGATCTTAGGCAATTAAAAAATTTCTTAAAAATTATTTTATTGAAATTGAAATTAATAAGATTTTTTCTTTATACATGTAAAATTCTTGTTAATTAAATAAAATTATAGAACTATCTTTGTAGTAGGTGATGCATAAATTTAGAATTTAGAAAGTACATACCTCGTAACTATTTTCAAATATTGATCCTTTTTATTTGATTCCATTTTGACGCCCATGCTGTCTTTACATGAAAAGAAATCTTGTTAATTGAAATATTAATTTATATCTATATCTAATAATAAATATACCATATATTAATCAACTTGCAAGTACACTAGCTATACAAATACTATAGTATTGTAGTTATTTGGGAATCTATTTTATAATCTCTTTAATTCATTATAAAGCTTCCAATCTTTTCAAATTTTTACGTTGCCAATTATTCCTTCTAAAATCGGATCAAGCAAAGTATTAGATCAAACTAATACGAATGAATGACTCACTTTAATAAATAAATTTTTATTATAGGGAGGTAATTTACAAGTAAAACAAACTGCATTCCTTACCACATACAATGTCCAAAGTAGACCTTGTTACATGTTCAAGAAAAGTAATTTCTTTTCCATTCAGTCCAACTTTTTCTAATTTATTTGCCAGTATTAAAGATTGTTCGACAAATATATTAAAAAATTCTTGCAACATAGTCGGACTAAAGAATGGAGCTATTATTTTTCGATTTCTAACCCATATAGATTCTGAAGCAAAAATTATTTGCTTATAAAGAAATAGTAAGAAAAAAAAAGAAAATACCAAAATATTGTATGGTTTAGTAGAAGTATAAATAAAATACAAAAGACTAAAGAATTAATTCTTATATAACATAAAGTTAATAAATAAACGATAATAAACAGTGATACCTCACTTCCACTTTTGTAAACTCATTAGTTATAGCAGAGCAACTAATTTTAAATATTTTATGCTTTAAAATATACTTTACCATGAGCTGTAAATAATCTTATGCCGAATGTTGAGGATGCAAGTTTAAAGAGTATACCTTTATTTAAGCAATGTGGGCTTTTTAAGACAGTCTGCAAAATTATATATATACATATATATATACATATATAATTAATATTTCTCTTATATATTTGCGCGCGTTTGGTTGGCTCGGGTAATTATAATGTAGCATATATGTGTTAAAAATCCGCTTAATAATAATTGTGCTTAATTAAAATAAATTAAATAAAAAATGAAATATATATATGTATGCGTGTGCACGCTTATGTGCATTTACGTAAATATTTAATTATATTCCATAAGAAAACGTTATTCATTTACCTTTACTTGACTTTGTTCATATATCACAACGAGTGAACTGATGCTCACCGACATTTTAAATGGGGATGGATAATATCTTCCAAGTGAAAATATATTATCCAATATTTCTGAAAAAAATTTTTATATCTTGGAAATATATTTTTATAATATTATTTGCCTGTTCATTAACATTGGCGATAGAATCAAGTGCTTTCTAGAATGTGCCATTAACATACTATATCTATCTATATGAAATAAATATGACAGATTATGTGACATACATTTGTAAATTAATTTATTTTTACGTTGGTTATTAAGTATCTTGTTCTTTAAGATGCTGGCTCTAAATATCGTTAGTTTTTGCTATATGTAAAAATTTTGAATATATTTTATAACGTTTGAACTACATTCTAATAATATTCTTGGTATTATTTGTACTTGTAAATTTTTGTTACATAAAAAATTACATAAAAAATTTTTATAACTTACAGGTAATATCTCCAATGAGGTAATGTCTAGATATTGAATTAATTAAGATTTGTGAATTGATATTGAACTTGATCTCATCTTTAATTATTTAATGTATATAATTAAAGAAATTTTCTCTTATAATTTAAGTATACTATTATTTGTAATTACCGTCAGGAGTTCCGCTACAGAGGTTCTTTGGTATCGTTTTCGGACCTGGCAGATCGATATCTTTTATAGGAAAGAATTTTCGACGGCAATAATTCCAAACAATGCCACTTATAATACATATCGCAGCGATTAATGCAGCATTTACAAACATTATAGTAATAATAACATCAAAGTATACTAAGACGATTTTATATTAATGTCACTATCCGAATGCAGCCATCACCGATACACATTGACGCTTTTATTATGTTTTCCCCACTTAAACTTAACTAACGTATATAATAGGTATGCAGTAATCAATGTATCCATTGTTTAGAAATGAACATTTAAAGTATTATTAAAATTAGAATTTTTTTGCATAACTTAGTAATAATAAATAGAATTGCTTGCTTAAATAATTTGTCGACTAATAAATACAGTCATTAAATTAATAATATTTAAAGTGCAATAATAACCGATAGATCAAAATTAATTTAAAAAGAACAATACCGATTTGGCATAAAATATTTTATTAATAAAATTTTGTTTTGTAAAACATTGATTATATGCACTAATACTTATTGATGATAAATTGACCGATTTACAGTCTTGAAATATACTTTTACTGTGTTATGTTGCTACGTGTACAAAGTAATTGCATCAACAAATTGCATTATCAATTGCATGCCGATACTTGTACGAAAAGCGAACAGTTCCATAGTTCCGCTTCGTCACGTTATAATTACTCATTATCATTCTTTGAACAATTAGAGATTATTAGACTACATTGCCTATAAATTTATCGTTTAATTATTGTGGTTAAGAATTCGTGAACAAATTAAACCAATGATTATCTACAAGAAGCAAGCGTGTATGAGTACCGACAGCAGTATGAGTATCGCACGCATTTCATATATTGTATTAATTATATATATAACTTTTAGAATTTCTGGAACAGAAACTGGAGATACGTTATTGTAATATTACGCATAATAACCAATAATTTACTTATATTCCTTAATACAGTCGAACCTCGATAACTCGAACCTCTACAACTCGAAAACTTCAATAAGACGAAAATTTTATTCATTCCGCTCCACTGCAGAAAACCTCTATAAATCAAAATAAAATCTACCTTAACTCGAATTATTTGTCAGATATTTAGATGTATTATTTTACCTTTGCAACTCAAATTTAAAGTAGCCAGATTTCTACAAGTCAAAGTAGTTCACCTTTATAAGTCGAATATTGTCGCTGTCTCTATGATTCGATGTTGTAGCTATGTGTAACATAAGTATAATATATAGTCTGATATTTTCAATATTTTATTTTACAATTACATTTGTTATATGTATGCAATAAATAATTCACTGTATAAACTCTCGCACAAAGCCTCCTCCGTAAGTCGAATTTTCATATTTTAGCCTTCTTTTACTCGAATTTCGATAAATTGAAAATAGATCGGAAGAGCACAC